GACAGCGTTCGATCCTCGGACTAGGTCAGGATCTGTTGCCCCTCGGTCGCACGAGGACCTTGCTGTGCGGCAAACGCGAGGCAAACGCAATGTCCAAACACAGCTATAAGCGTCTGTTCTGACATGGACGCTCGGGCTCAACTCGGGCTCGTGGAGGAGGAGGAGGGCGTCTGGGATTTGTCTGGGGTGGAATCTCTCACACTTCGCGCTCGCTGCGATGGCTTGCGCTATGTACTGTGAAGTATTGGAAACGGAGGTCAGCTTCTCGTTCGTCGACGTCATTAAACTCCGCCAGTCACTCACCTGTACGATTTTGCATAGCCAGAAACACTGTGGTCGTGGAGTATGACCAATGCATGGTGCGCAAGTGAGTCACAGTGAGTACTGTCCCAAGGCTGCGTATGAACTTACAGATTAGAGGGATTCTCATTTGAGAGTATAAGTAGTGCCGTGACACCAGTGGATGACACCGTGACGGCTACCGCGTTTCGCATTGACAAGCCCGGCACGATAGTAATATGAAAACCAAAGGAGGGAACCGCGGTGGCAGGGTACAACGTCGCGGAATGACTAGTACTGTGAACGTCTCTGTCTGACTTGAACGTGGTCGCGAGGAGGAGGAGGAGGAGTGCATACGGACGCCACGTGCACATCTATTCTTGGCAGCGCTTCAGCGCTTAACACGTTTGGCGAGGAGGATTGCAAGTTCAACGTGCAACGTTCAACCATTACGACGCAACTTGCTGAACAACTAAGTACTACAGCAAGTAGAATATTCTCAAACGAGCGGATCTGTGTAAGTCGATATGTACAACTTCCAGCTGGTTCGCGCTCATGAGATCCTTTCGACGTGATCGTCAGTTCTTCCCACTGTTCCAGTGGACTTCGGAATCATTGTCAACTAGTCTCTACATCGTCGAATCGCTCAATGCCGTGATCTTCCCTTACGGTTAACTCAAGGCTATCAACTCACGCACTTTGTGACTGCGCCGGTCCTTTGAGATGAAATCAAGGTACGCATGTTCCATGGTTTCGCATACTACATATAATCATACTCACGGTCCATTGTTGCACTTCGTACGAGTCCATTGGAGATCGTCCCTGGCTCCCTCCGCATTCAGAACATAGCACGACCACAAACTCGCCAAGCGACATTCACCAGTCCCATGTAACGTGCATCACCGCCACGCCGATCAGCAGAATAGCAAAGACCACCCCGGTCCCGACGCCACCGCATATCATCGCTTGCACCAAAGTCAGCGTGCCATCCATGACACCGTGCTGGATCAATATCGCTGTTCCCACTACAGGTCCGAGCAGCCCGGACGTGAGCAGGCCTGCCACGACGCTGTGGAAGAAGACTGTGGATCCGTAGCGGCAGGCGAGCTCCGGTGGTGGGGGGTCATTCGTCTCCGTCTCGTGCTGCCATCGGTATCGTCGGCTTGGCTCCTGGTATATGCCGTAAGCAGCTCGTATAACTCCTCTAGCCGATAGAATCCCCAGTGGACAGTGGTGAACCCGACCGAGAGGATGGATCCGCCGAGGGCACCCAGGAAGATCACGTTGGCGTCGCCCGCGTACGGCTCTTCAGGGATGAATGCCAACGGGACCAGACCTAAGAATGTCGATGCGCCAGCGTACGCAGCGAACACTGCAGCATAGAAGATACACTGCAGCGTGTAGTCGACGAGGAGTGTCATGGCCTTCTTGCTGTGCACGCTTGGTATTTGTGGCGCTGTGAAGTGGAGGTTGGGCCATTTCTGGAGGAACGCATTCGATAGGCTCGTCCACTTTGAGGGTCGCTGCATTGGACCGGTTGCCGATCGCTCCTTCGACGAGCGTGTCCGTCGATCCAGTCTCGCACGACTCGAGCAGGTATGTGCGTCTTCATTGTCCGGGTGTGGTTGTTGAAAGCAGGTGTCGACGCTACCAGACCCTAGACTCGGATGCGGCAAAAAGATGCCTATCATGGCCTGCAAGGTGGACTCGGGATCGAGGGCAAGTGTTCTTGGCTCTGTGGAGTGGATGCAGAAGAGGTGATGGGCTAGTACCGCTCGCCGGCATTCTTTTTATCGTTGAGCGGCGAGAAGGCTGTGTCCAGTTTGTCACTGCATTTAGAACACGTCCTCAGGCTCGAGCTCTTCAGCCAAAGCTTCTGTGTGGCGTAGCCTGCGGTTTCCAGGACAGCCATTGCTTAGAGCCGTGGCTGTTCTGCGACCGTATGTCGTGCTTTGGCCTGCGCTGTTCTGTCATAGTATAGCGAGGCCGGCCTGCGTGCACTGCTTCAGCCTCGTCCTCGAATGCTGCTGCACCGCCACGCGAAACCTGACTGTCCATCCCACGTGTCTACTGCATGCATGCTCTCAACATCGGGTCTCGAGGGCGATGCGCCATGCGCCACACATATGGTAACTTCGTGTCGCTGCTTTGCTCAGAGCCTCTCTACCTGAACTTGCTTTATCGGGGACCATTGCCGAGCCACTGCTTGCTGACTATTCTAAAACCTGAGTACCGACTTGCTTTGATTGACTTCTGAGCCGCTCACCGTGAGTTAACCCCGATACAAGTATAATGCTGACGACGGCGGCTAATTTATTCCCGAGGACGGCTGCCACTCGTGCATGCTTATATACCGATCCCGATCATCTCGCAAACGATGAATGAGGATCTGTCTGAAGGCATCGATATCGCACCGTCGCGGGACTCGGTCACGAAGGATACATGCTTGTGTGCGACCGCCGTATTGTCTCTTTGAAGGTATGTACATATCACAATAGAAGTCCGTCATTGTCCTACATGAATCCCCAATACACCTCCGCATCCCGGGACTACAAGACTATATACCGGTTCTCCGATGCCAATAACAATCTCTGTCTTGCACAGGATATGCCGAAAAGTGCAATGCTAGCCACGACCCCAGTACCAGCGGCGCCGCATCTCAGAGCATGCAGTGCCGTCATCGTGCTATCCATCAAGCCGTGCTGGATGATTATCGTCGCTCCCACCCAAGGTCCGAGCAGCCCGGCGACAAGCAGACCCAAAACAAAGCATGCCTTCGCTACAGACCACGCATGACGGCCCGCGAGTTCTGGCTGCGGAGGCATGTCCGTCTCGCATTGCCACGTCCGCGGATCCTGAAGGTCCGGTTGCTTGTATATCCCGTGGGCCTTCTCGTACCACGCCTCCAGCTCTCTGTACGCCATAAGCGTCGTGGAGAACGCCACGGAGACGATGGCCCCGCCGAGCGCGCCAGCGTAAACGACGTTGTCGGTGAAGTTGCTGGCGTAGGGTTCCTGATCCGAGAGAAGCCATCCTCCCAGCCAAGTGCAGGTGCCAGCGAAAACGGCGGAGACGGTCGCGAAGAAGACGGCGGCGCAGTAATAGTTGAAGGTGAATATCACAATCTTCTTCAACCACGTCGTGGGCCTTTCCGTGTGCCCCACGGGGATGACAGTTCCTACTAGATTGACCTTTAGGACGATGTGTGAAGGACTGGTGGCGATGCAAGACTCACCGTCGTTCTCTGTGCCCGATATCGGTTCCGTGTGCGATTCCTCCTTTGAGGTAGCGGCGTCCGACTCCAACTTGAAGAAAGGAGTGGCGTCTTTCGCGGCCCCTTCGAGATCAAACTGGGGCAAGCGAGTGTACCCAGAGTGCAACGTCAGGAAAGGAAGACGGAAGAAGGCCATGGCTTGCACGGAGCGGTAGGAGGCCACTGAGATATGGGAATGTACTGGATGGAACTGTAGTGTGCGGAGGTGGGTGAATCGTATTCGATGCCCTGCTCTCATTTATAACCAAAGGACGAGAAGGCTATGTTCAATCTGCTATCGTAAGCATGTATCCTGCCTGCAATTGTCTCGGTGTCAGTGAAGTTTGGAAGCTTGAGGCATAGCTTGCGGTTGCCACGGCTGAGGCCTGAGGTATTGAGGCTGAAGCTTCCACACAATACCAACGAAGCTGCATTGCATCTCCTATCTGACGGGCAATTGTGGCGCAAACACCGTGTACTACTGCAGGCTATGGCCAAATCGTATTCCGCCGCGCGATCTGCTCTGCCTTGTTGTACTTGAACCGTATCGGCCGAGGACTCGTGGGCCGTAGTCAAGTGCAATTGTAACAACAGATTGGGTCAAAGTGCCACACTGGCAACAAGCGAAGGCCCTGTACGACTCGGAGTATCCGTATACCTAGTATTGTCAGTGACTTCGCACACAGCCTCCGCCTATGCCAGTGAGCGACTCCGACAGAGCCATCCTATCGTGAGCTGCCCGCGTCGCACACGCCTACAGTCCACTGGCGTCGTGTGTAGGAGGTCGTTTGAACGATTATTGTCGCCTTCACGCTTCAGTACGATGGCCATAGACGCTGAATATGAGCAGATGTACTATCGCTGAGCGAGGCGTACTCTCAGTGTCCCTAAGAACGGAGTCGCCGGTTTCGTCACGATATTTATCCGTGCCTCGCTGAGCGACGAAGCATGAATGCAACCAAGGAGGTCTCTCGCCACATGTGAAACTCATGACCATAGATAAATTGACGGAGGCGCACTATGTAGGTCTGTACTAGGTAGCTATCATAGGTACGGCCCACTGTTCTTGGCTATACAAGTCCATAACCACTTGGGTATCCTCTCCCCATCTCGCGGGCGCGCATAGACCCAGCAGTAGACCAAACCTCAACACGTATCAACACTCGGCGTCCCTTCCCCCATTACAGAGCTTCATCCCATAGGTACAGGACAGGCAGACGAGTATACCGCCAATGACAAGCCCTGTACCGGCCGCGCCACATCCCAGCGCCGCAGACGCAGTCATCGCGCTAGTCACGATACCTCGCCGTATGACCGTTCCGAACACAGGTCCCACGAGCCCGCCCATAAGCAACCCGGAGATCGTACAAAAAGCGGTGACGGAGCCCGCGTAACGGCGGGCGAGCTTCGGTGGCGGAGGCACGTACGTCTCGCGCTGCCACGTCCACCACTCCGGGAGCTCGCTCGGGGGCTCGTATATCCCATGGGCTCTCTCGTATATCTCCTCGAGCTCGGCGTAACACCACATGACAGTGGTAAACATCAAGGACAGGATGGTCGCGCCAAGCATGCCGGCGTAGACGATGCTGAAGTTGCTGGTATAGGGTTCGTTCGTCTGGAGGAAGTACCAGCTCGCGTAGGTGGAGGCGCTGGCGTATACGGTGCAGGCTGCGGCGAAGAGAATGCAGGAGAAGATGTAACTGGAGACCAGTTTGCCGATCTTCTCGAGGCGCGTCGACGGCTCTTCGGGAATGCGCCCTTCAAGGGCGTCCAGCTCTGCGCCTCCCTCGTCAGAGACAACGGGAAAAGGGACGATAAAGATCATCTACACACCTCTTTCGAGCTGAGCGGTCAAGCCGGTCCGCTGTGTACGCTGTGTTCGGATGGTGTGCGATGCTCTGTGCGAACGTGCGGCGCGCTCCGACCGGGACGTTCTCTTCGTGTGTGATGTCGGCTCCGCGTGGACCGTCTGCTCTGAACTAGCGTTGTCCGGCTCCAACAGCGGAGTGGCGTCCTCTGCCGTTTCGAGATCGGACTGGGGCAAGCGAGCGTATCCAGTGTGCGACGTCAGGAATGGGAGATGGAGGGCCATGGCTTGCATGGAGGGGTCGCCGATGTGACCGGACTGGATGGGGTGGCTTGCGGAGGTGAGTGACCAGTATTCTTCCTTATCCCCGTTTTATGGCCAACATACGAGAAGGCCATGTTCAGTCTGTTGATGTAAGCATGTATCCTGCCTATTGTTTCGATGCCAGTAGAAGACCATAAGCATAGCTCGCGGTTGCCAGGTCAATAATTGTGAGGCTGAAGCTACCACAGAATCAGGCTTTGACCCCGGGAGACATCACTTCGGCGCTTTGTAGTGACACAAATGTTTTGCCCTATTGCAATTGCTATGACTAAATCGTCCTGTGCGATATGCGGCTTCACATGTTGTGAAGTGCCACTAAGGATGCCGCCTTCCGGACACAACACGGAGCTCAGCAGAAATAATTGCTGAGGAGGAGGGTCCAACATGATGAGACGCGACGCCACACACTCAGCAACGCGACGAGGAGGAGGAGGAGGAAGAGGAGGAGGGGATTCCCGACACACGCGTATTGGTCATCGGGCGGGGATCTAAGCGCCGGATTTGAGCGCGCAGCGCTGACGGCGGAAAGCTCGACGACCTGCTGTCCTTCATGCCAGTCACGGTGGCAGCCGTCTGCAGGACGAGACGAAACCACAGAGGCTGCCCTCCCAGAACCACCTTTCGCCCTGTGTTGATGTCTTTGGTCACGCTGGAGCCAAGTCCCTCCGGATCCTTGACCAACGGCCCATAAAACATCGTGTACGCCCTTTTTGTACAGTACGCGAACCTTTCCATTGTTCATCATACGTTGCCCAGCAATTCCACACGACACGCCCACGTAGCGCGCTATTGTTGATATCCAGTTGTATCACCAAGAGGCTCCGACGTAGCTGTGATGGTCCTATTTGTTAGCCGCGCCGCGAATGGCTGTATTGCTGGTACGTACCTTCTCTGTCTGGCTTCTCAGCCTGTGCTGCAGCATAATGAAGTCTTGTCCATCCTCTTCGTACTTCATGAACATCTCCGTGTGCGCGCAACTGGGGGCAAGCATGTTCTCGTCCGATCGTGCACTTCTCTCTTGCGAGAAGGGCTGAGTCTAATCCCAAGATGACGCAGTTGCTCTCCCATCTGAGAATGCGCATATGTCCTTCACTTTCGCAGCGAGAGCGCCGCACTGCATCGATATCTCCTGCTCCGGAGCGTTGAATGGGCAAATCTTTCGCTGATATCAGTTGCGCTGACACTCTTCTGGAAGACCTCGGCCCATGGCGTGCCCTCCTTCAGGCATCCTTCCTCTCCCGCGTTGAGCAACTAGAGAACGACGAGTACTTCAGTGAGCTCCAGGAAAACCTGATAACGGAGGTTCCCGCGCACGACTATATGCGCCTCCGGGACACCGTAGAACTCACAAAAAGCCGGGAACTGGTGCGAGAATGCCACAAGCGCGTACGGCGGTGCGATGGACTATGGCCTGGCTGCGGTCATCAAATCCTGTGCGTTTGCCGCCGCCTCCCGTTTATGCAGCAACCAGAATCAAGTGCGTAAGCACGGAGCAGTCGAAGTTGTCCCCAAGCGGCCGCCGCAGAATGAGTCAAACTCTTTGATCTTTCCTCCCTGGTGCGCACCACGTCGCCCACCGTCATGGCGTAAAGAAAGCTGACGTCGAATACATTGAAGACGGCGATACCGAGGACGCCTTTCACTTGATCGCCGCTTTTACGACTGTAGCGAGAGGCCGGCATACTGCAAAACGTGTCAGATGTAGCTGTGGCAGATATCATAGTATGTAGCAATAGTCAAGGAGTCAGCCGGGTCTCGGACGACATAAATTATCCCGCCTCAGGCGTGGCCACTAGGACATTCTCAAGGAGCAAAATGTTCTTGCGTGGCTTCGCCATGTACGCCAGGGCCAACCTTGGATATCCCCGCCCTCCTCGATCAGAGTGCGACTGAACATAGGCGATGATACACCATCGTAGTAGCGAGTTCGCACTGGCTCCTGGACGTCGCCACTCGCTTCGTTCAAGCAGAGGACAAAGCTGATCTGACCCAAGTACGTCTGGATTGTCGTACACGCATGCTCCGCCACTAGGAACAGCTCACGCGTCGCTTTGAGCAGATCACGTAACAGCGGGAGAAACACTCGGCCTGGGTCAAGATGTGTTCTCTCGTGTGTACAGCCAGAAGTTTTCGGAAGAGACGCGGCGGGACCGACGTATTTTGACGAGTCAGTGATGATGACGTCGTAGGACACGCATTCTCTTTCCAAGATGTAAAGTGGCCGCTGATATGGACACAGAGATCAGAAACGACCGCGAACGCGTGAAGGAGATATTCCCTGAAAACTCGCATGACGACCTGACGTGTCAGTCATGGCTGTACTATACGGACTATCTGCGCAGAGCTCTGTCAACGTTCTCGATTGTGTCGTCCTTGAAGACTGCGCACGTCTCCATCGTCTCCATCGATCACGAGGCTCCTTTGCGAGTCAGAATGACTCGCGAGTAGAAGGTGAGCGACCATATCCTGCTAACTGTGGTTCACTTTTCTCATAGGCCACAGATTCCAAGACGAGGACGTATCCGCATGGCCAGAGACCTGATCTGCCGGTGCCACTGAGAACGCGTGGGTAAGTCCACCGATTCAAAAAGAAACCCGAGTGCGAAGCTAACAATGTCACTTAGCTGGGTGGGCAGGGGCATTTTCGAGGCGATGTGGCAACGTGTGGCAATGCGGTCATTGTTGTCATACAGGGGTCTTCACTACCGCTGACTTGGCTTGAACGGGTCCAAGCGAAACACAAAGCGGACCAAGCCGCATACTTCGCGCGTCAGAAGTATAAATACCCAGGTCGATTTTCCGGGTCCTCAGTATCTCTCCGTCCAGGCCACTGAGTTCTTGCCATGAATCACTTTGAACGCCTTATCGCTCGCATCTCGCTACCATTCCTCCTAACCACAAGTGCCATCCCATACATCGCTTCGGTACAGATCCGCAGGGGAGTCACTGACGCTCTCAGCCAAGAAGCGCAGGGAATCGAAGCATCCCCCCGTAAGGCTCTCTGCGGTACGTTCCTTCTAGCACTCCTTCATACACTAACATGTTGTACTGATGTCCGCAAGATAGTGTCGGCCTATCGCTGACACACTCACATCCGACGCCCTCCACGATGCAGACAAAGACCCTCGTGGGTTTCGGCGAAGTGACTCTTGCTCGCGCCACATGCCTCCTGGGTCCCAACCTCAGTGATGTTCGCATCGTACCGCGAGCTGTGTAAGGCGATTCCGTGCTGTTCAGCCCATACCGTACGTAGCCATCTGTCCGTCTTTTTACGGGTGTTCTGATCGCTATCTCAGAACGATTACTATCCTCGTAGTTGATCTATCCGGCGAGCAGCAGAGGACGTGGACGATGCCCGCGGCAAGTGGTCGGACAGCTAGCCAGCCGGGCTCGCAACGTCTCTGGAGGGCCACCTCTCTGGGGCTACTTCCCTGAAATGCGCGATCATCGAAATTACACGAAGGCTCATCAGCGCGGATGCCTGTCCTCCGCTGGGAATGTCTATCGCGTCGGGGCAGTCGCCCTGTACGCGAGCGGTCTCAGCCGAGTAGACTTGGGTTTCGGAAAATCGAGTAACATACCATTATTGGGAACTGGTACAAGCAAGACACGTCAATTTTGCGTATTATTATGCAAACGGATACTCAAGCCGGCGTGCCAAGAGTAGATTCGAACCCGTAAATTTGGTCTTCAGTTCGGCCTCGATCGGACGCACCCACCGAAGTCGTCTTGGGGGTGACTAGGAAGGTTGGGGCTAATCATCAGGTTTGCCTTGCAGCTGCTCAATCGCTGCTGCTTGCCATGGCTTAGCTAGGGTAGGTGCGATACAGTTGCGGCAAAGAAGAGTTTAACAATGCCATCAAGCAAGAACGATGTGAATCCATATGTACATTTGCGAGGTGGTCAGTCTGTCCGTTTCGTAAGCAAGGTACACGTTCAAGCAGATTAATAAAAACACAGTGCATGATGTCTATCGTGAACAGAGCTGCCCGGAGACCTTCAGATCTCTTGTCATCTCTCGGGAACAGGCAGATAGAGACTCACAATCGGAAGCCCTCAACACTCGCCCTCCTTGCCCCCATACCACATCCAGATCCCATACGTACCGGACAGGGCGAATAGTATACCCCCAATGACAATGCCTGTACCGACAGCACCGCACCACAACTCTGCCGACGCACTCATCGCGCTGGTCAGCGTCATCCGCCGCATCATCGCCCCCAGCAAAGGTCCAAGCAGACCGCCCACGAGGAGCCCCGAGATCGTGCCTGTCGCAGTGACATAGCCCGCATAGCGGCGAGCGAGCTTCGGCGGCGGGGGCACGTACGTCTCGCGCTGCCACGTCCACCACTCCGGGATCTCCCTCGGAGGCTCGTATATCCCGTGCTTCTTCTCGTACAACGCCTCTAGCTTGTGGTACACCCACATCGTCGTGGAGAACACCCAGGAGAGGACCGCCGCGCCGAGCGGAGCGGCGTAGACGATGTTGAAGTTGCTCGTGTAGGGTTCGTTGGTCTGAAGGAAGTACCACGCCGCGTAGGTGGAAATGCCGGCGTATACGGCGCAGATACCGGCGAAGAAAAGGCAGGTGAAGAAGTAGCTGGAGAAGAGGAGGCCGATCTTCTCGAGACGCGATGTTGGCTCGTCGGCAGTACGCCCTTCAAGGGCGTCAAGCTCTATCGCTCTCTCGGTTAGAGACAACGGGGAAAAGAATGACGATGGCACTGGACGCACCTCTTTCGAGCAGAGCGGTTGAGCTGGTCCGCTGTGGGCGCGGCGCTCGTTTGGGACGCGATGCTCCGTGTGAGCGTGGTGCTCGCTCTCGCCCGGAACGCGACGTTCGCTCTGTACGTGGGTGCCGCGCTGAGCGTTCCGGGAGCGATGTCCCCTCTTGGTGTGACGTCCCCTCCGGCTGCGATGCTCCCTCCGAGCGCGATGGCTGGTCTGTACGCAACGGGTCTTCCGACAGACTGATGGGTCCGGGCATGGCTTGCTGTGCGATTTCGAGTGGAGGTATGGAGAGCTGTAGTGTTCACTGAGTGATAAAGGGCGAGGTACTGAATCTCCAGCCTCATGCTGGATTCTGATATACGGATGCACGGCATCAATGCTGTGTACCATGCATCCGCACTCTTGTCTGCGTCGCACTTGTTCTTCGTACGTAAGTGCTTTTTGTGTTGTTTAACCGACAGTTACCAGGGGAGATGTTGACAGCCACGAGTCCCCATCCTTACTCTTTTGTATATCGCATTGTACCTGAGGGTCTCCTAGACAGAGTCCAAGTCACCCTTCTGGAGGATTGCGTCAACGAGGAGAGAAGACGCACCGAAAATGGTCGGGTTCGCAGTTACATAACTTTGATGAGATCGTAGCGCTCAGTGACCGCCCGAGTCGAAGCTGTCATCGATTCATCCTTGACTGAGCCTCAGCGTGAGTCAGTGCTTGTACTCATCTGTGTCCCTCGCGACTAAGTACTTATTGTTTCGTGCGCCGTCACTTGCAAATATGATCACCTACGCCGTGAATACAAGGCTTTGTTGTGGAGTTATGGTATTGAACAGCAGGTATGTACTCACTTCAAGGTCAACTTGAAGGTAGTCACCTCCAAACTTCCGATTCGCTCTGAGACGTCGCGCCAATTGAACGAGGATTCTTGTCAGTGTGAGACAGTCTAGCGCAGCGATAGAAGTGGGCCCGTGCCACGCGTGAAATGTGCGTACGATGTGCAGCGTGCGGCCCGTGTGGGCTGCCGTCGTGTCCAAGCTTAGTCTGGCTCGGGACCGTCACTGGACGCGCTTGTGGCGGCCAGATCCCAAACCCGATTCGAGCATTCGTCCCCGGTCCCCCTACTTACATACCGTCACGCTACCAGCATGAAGTTCGCCGCCGCCGATTCAATTGAGCCAACAACATACCGGCCACTCTGCCAAATTGAATTCTTGTCTCCTTACTAGGCCCGGCACTGATACTGGGAGGCTTCCGACTCGTGGCTTAGAGGCTATGCGGGTTTACAGTGGATATGGCGAACACTGGCGTGTTCGACGACCTGGAGGCCAGTCGCGCAGAGGGCTTCACCAACACTGATGCCTTGAGTACGCGAATGTTGACAACATGTATTCCGAAACGTAAGTCCGTCGCTGCTTTCTGTCATTCCAGGCCCACATTCAACCAAACGTCCGTCACAAACCTACCTGCAGACTCCCACTACCTCCTAGGAACATCTCCCTACACCCGGTACCGTATCTTCTGCCTAAGGACGCTCAGAGCCGTCACCATAATGGCTACCATAACGAACAGCGCGAGACTGATCGCCGTTCCGAATGCGCCCCACGCCAGCGCGTCCTTCGTAGTCGGCATCCCCTCTGGCGCGTTCCGTCCCTCGAACGGCAGCGACAGGCCCAATGCGGGACCACACAAGCCGCTCAGCAACAATACCAACGCCATGTAGTCTGGACGCGCGGGGTATTGCGCCCAATCATGACGCTGTATCCGCTGAGGCGGCGCAGGAAGGAGTGTCCCGGTCCGCGGCTCCCCCCACCACCTCGGCGCCTTTCTTGCAAAAGGATCGATTCCATGATCCAGCAGTTTCTGAATCTCCTTCAAGAGTAGCCTTGCGATCATCCAGACGTAGAGTGACATGACCGCGAGGATGATGGTGCCGGCTGTCGCCGCGGAGAAGATCTCCAAGACGCACGCGGAGGACTCGTTTGGCTCGACCATGACGGTCATGGTCCTCCAGCCGATGAAGGTAGTCATCGACGTATACGCAACGCACAGTATCAGGTATAGAAGTCCGGAGAAGGCGCCGTGGATAATGCGAGCATGGAGGTCCAAGAGTCTAGCTGCGACGGGCTCGCGCTGACAGGACTCCGTCGCGGGTGTTTCCTCTCCACTGTCCGAGTCGGACTCCCGGAATGGGTCCTGGACGTGGTATGTTCCGCGACGCGGGCATGAGCAGGCGTCGTTGAACGGGTCTGCTGAGTGGGCTGAGTGGATCGGGCATGAGCGGGCCCCGTTCATTGGATCCGTCTCGATGCGGTCGAATGATAGGGTTGCGTATGGCCCATCTGGTATGTTAACTTCGACTGGGATTGAAGTTGTCAGACAATAGTGCGTGTTATATGATCCTCGTACCTATGGTGTAGTCTGGCGGTGCGACGACATCGGGGTGCTGGTTGACCTCGGCCATGACTTGCTATGCAGCGGCCGGTCTAGGGTCGGCGTCGTGGATGGCGAAGAAAGTTGCGTTGTAATGTCTCGGCAGCTGAATGCGAACCTCCATACTTATGTCGGATGTGACGCGCGGGCGGTTTCCCGATACGCGTCTCCCATGGAGCAGTGCACTGCAGTGCCCGTTGTTCAACGGTTGACCACTTATCAGAAGGGTAGACTACGTAACTGAGAATACAAGGCACACGGAAGCTTGTTGCTGTACTCTTCCAGCAGGTACCGTGTACGTAGCCGCCTGTTTCGAATTCGTTGGGTGGCACAAATACACTGCTGCTGTCAGCCGGACCGTCCTTGTACTTGCGTACCCCTTGTTGCTGAGAGTACAGCATCCTGGCGACGAAATGCCTTGATGTAAACATGCTTCGATGCCTTGCTGTCTCCGAACTTTTCTCCATGTAGCGCAAAGGCCCTCGTCTAGTATTACTGGGGCAATGCCTGTCTGTGGCTGCCCAGATCTGTGTGGCGGTTCGACCCGCCGTCTGGTATTCAGTCGGCGAGATCCACAGGTACGTGCCAACGCAGATTTCTCGAGTCCCAAGGCTACTTCAAGTTGCCTACGATGCGACTCAGCCGACGTGTGACATAGTGAAGAATTGGGCGGTGACTCAACTGGTCCTTCGTACAAGACAGTGCGCAAGGTACTAGCTGTGCTCCCTTCGCGTAACTGTCCTCATGGCTTCCAGTACTACGCGCAAATCGAAGCAGCCTAGTACCTCTTATAAGTATGCAATGCTTATGTTGTACGCACTTGCTCGAGAGAATACACGTCCCAGTCAATGGCGTCGTTCAGTGCTTGATCGCCATCCCACACTGAAGACATCGTTGAATTCGATGACTTGCGCGGTCACAACAACGCGTGGACCACCCTCGGCTGGCAGCGCACCCATGAGCAAGACGACTGTCTTGCTTCAGCAGTGTTCCAGCGAAGGATGACCCTCGTTGTCGTCGCAGAGATCGCGCAGTTCGCACTACGCCATCTCGCACCACCGCGACTGTGGAGCCGGTTTTGGCGACTCGTTCGAGGCCTTTCCGGACGTTGCTCTGTCAGCGAGCCTTGAGTTTCATGCATGTAACGGAACTCACTGATGGATGTAGTCTTGCAGCGTGTACTGGTGGCTCTCAGGCATATGTCCGGTCGCCATGCTGGCGCGTTATTCACGAGTCCCTCGCAGAGCTGCTGTTCCACTCAGGATTATACATCGGAGGCAGAGAGACGGGAACCGGGCCTGCATCTTCGTATACAGTCGGTCCAACGGCCTGTCGCGCCAGGTCGCGCCGGCTGTTGGCGAGAGCGTGGCGTCACGTCGGTGAGTGAGAACCGGGGGCCTATCCCCGGACTAAGGCGCGACGGCCACATCCATCGAAGACGTCCTCGTTGGCGCGAGGAGGCTGGATTGTATCGATGCACGTTCCCTTGTATATCCGTTGACCCGGACGACCTGGGTCTCATGAGGCGTAGGAGGCGTCGCCGCGCGGAAGGTGGCCGGGCGGGGTGGGTTCGTTCCAACTCGCCGATCCTCCTTGGCCAGACACCTGGCGGACTTTGCAACGCGGCGCAGGGCGGTTGCATCGTAGCTGCGTGGACTATGGGCAGTCGATCCAGTCAGTATGCCAAGCTACAGGTGGGAGGAGACGTTAGGCCCGAGGCCGTGCAAGTCAGGACCCAAGATAGGCTCACGAGTGCGGGGAGGTGTTGGCGACCTGAACACCTGTCAGCTAGCACCGCTGACCAGTCGTTTTCCTGTCAGTGGGAGGTAGATGGCTGGTTTAGGAGGAATGGTAACGGTGCGAAGGAGCGGGGCAGTAGTCCTAGTCTGAAGGGATGCATCGGAGGGTGTCGCTGAGTTTGACGGACTAACCGAGGCAGCGCAGGGTATTTATACCTGGTGCTGATCGCGTAGTCTATTGTTCCTGAGGCGGCGTCGCGTGGGCGACGACTATGTATGTGGCTTTGTGGTACGGCGATCTAGATGGGCCACTTCTAACACGTTCCTGAGCATCATGAGTCTGGTGCTTTGATCGGTCGTCCTCATCTCAATTGAAGAGCGAAGAGCCGGACGCCCCAACATGGACCGTCGACAGTGCGTAAGCTTTTCGCAATTCACGATGTTGTATTCCAACTCGAAAGGCTGACGGAACATCCATGCTATGCGCTTTCTAGGAACCACGAGATGAGAATAGCAAACGCTTTGACATATGACGTACCTGAATACGACTACCTGTGGCCTCCGTTGCTATGTAGCCTTGACCCTGAACACCTCCCGCGCACAAAGACAGAAACGCTACACGCGATAGCTCGATGTTGTGGATCGATCGTACCCCCATTGCGTCGATACAAATCATGCGGCAGCACGTTGGCAGCACGTCCTTCGCCGACTACCCGAATGCCCATAGGCTTTTGTCCCGCACGGCACCAATCTTCCTAACCACTCCACGGAGCACTACCCGCGACTACCGCAGCGACGACGATCTGATCTGGTCACAGGGGTTTCTGACGCCACAAGACAGCGGAGGCGTTACTGGCACGATGTGTATGTGAGTATGCAGTCTCGTCCGTCTTCTCTCAGCACCATACTCACGCGATGTAAACCACTAGAGCTGCGTCGTGCACGTACACGGCCCGTCGAAACTGCATGGAGTCCACTACCAGCACTCACCACCAGATCTTTGATATGCAACGCGGAGAAAGCCAGCCACGCGCAGCGAGGCTGGCGATTGGGCTTGGTAGTCAGACTGCGAAGGGGGCATTGTCAGCATCAGCAAACCCCGAGTGAGTAGCTCTTTCCTCCGCCTTCGTCTCAAATACGAACGTTCCCTCTGCAAAGGATTGGCAAGAAATTCAAGACGCGAACAAGACAGGTGAGTTTCTTCTGCAGTCTCATCACGAAAAGGCTAGACGTACTCACACGATCTGAAAGGCCCAACCGGCGTGGAGAAATCATTGGGTATGTACTGATGGGGCATGTCTTGCAGCTCCAGTCTTCAGAATGGTACTGAGCGGGACTACGGCAGATGATAAAAGGCCTCCCTCGTTGACTCACGGCGTTCGGTCTTGCAAACGGTCTTCAGACTCGGACTTGCATGGTCCCTACAAGAGAGTCCTCCCACGATAGGCATGTGAACCGCGAGGTGCGCTCCAGCTGTGTTGAATGGTTGAGGACCCGTGAATGGTAGTGATGAGCTGGCTGCTCGTGCTCGTCGACGCGTAAGCACTTGTGAGCGGCGATGGAGGACGACGCGTCTGTGGCGGGAACATCGGGCAGCAATCTGGCTGACGCCCGCAAAGTCGACCTTCTCTTCCAAGTCACTCAACTTGTGCAAGTACTGGTGCATATTTCGCTGAGACCTCTTATAAACTTTTCATCGCCGTTATGTCACCTCTGTATGCGTTTCCTGACAGGATGAAAAGTCACCAACGACGCGCCGCTCATTCAAGTTGGCACGGACACTGTTGCGACGACATCCTGACTGACCCTATCGCTCACCCGGACCACGGCAGACAATGCGCTTCAATAAGTACGCGAGTAACGCCGCGGCTACGTGGCCAATGGTGAGCATTCTCGTCGACCAATGTCTACTGAAAGACATCCAGTGTCACAGCAATAATGCATGAAGTCGATCGCGACATGCGACCTCGCCAGATAATGACTTGTACGTACCATGCATTGTTTTGACGATGTCCACTTCCTCCATTAGAGACCTTTGTCTCTAGTTAACTTGCGTGTTCCTACTTCAGGTATAAATACCCCCTCCACCGCTCTCCATTTCCTCTCATCAAAGCCGCCTCCCCACTCTTGAGCCACCCAACATGTCGCCTCACTTGCTCTGTCGTCTATTGACGGAGCCTCCTCCTCTTGCTTCTGCGTCGTGGCGCTGTCTGCGCGCGATACCATTCCTCCTAACCGCCACATACGCCAGCGCTCAATCCCTCGACGGGCTCACCGGCCGTCGACACAAGGAGGCGGTGATGGAAGCTCCTCAGGCAACCTGTCTTGAAAGAAAGGCCCGCTCGCGGAGCAAACTGAGCCCGGCACCGTATCTCCCAAGAGGCTGCAATTTTTTGCGCAATCATCCCGTCTAGGAGGCGTTGATGACACCGGCGAGCGACGGGGAGCCTGAGGAGACCTGAAAGACTGTCTGAGACTTGCGCGCAGCCACGTTTCGTACACCCGTGAGTACCCTACATCCCCGTTTGACCATGTACTGACGCACTGGTGATCGCATTAGGGACTCGGGCCAACCCTGGAGCGGCGCTGATGCTTCGCGGGGTCTCGTTCAATCTTGAGGAACAACATGCATGGGACCATTATATCTCAGCGGGGCGTGGGCGGGATATTCAGGGACGTCTTCAGTGAGTACTGACTGACTAGACATCCGTTACTCACATGCTAACTTGCACTCACTGCAAGCTGGTAGTGAGGGCCTCAAGGACTCGGGCGGCCCAAAGGTGGACGCGGCAACCCGTAGGACGGCTCTTTTACCTTGAATGACCTATGGTACAAGCACCGGCAGTCCGCGTTCACTGACACGCGGGATTTCTTACCTGGCCCGATCGTCGCCCGAGGCCTACCTCTATGGCTCATTTGCATCGTCTATCAGTCATGGTGAGTGTTCGGAAATCGGGTGCTTTGCGTCTCATTATTGAATGCTCGATTATCCAGATGCTCCTGTGTACCCTCTCTGCCGCCCCCAGTCATCCCGTCGCATCCAGACCCCTCAACTTGCCGACTACAGCATGGATTCGAGAGCGATCGGCATGACGACGGTCAAAGAGATAATCAGCACGCTCGCAGAACAAAGTGTCTGTTTTTGTCGGTCGTGGTCGTAACCTCGTAACTAACAACCGACTGAATACGATATAGTCGATGCGCACCCTTACTCCCTTGACGAAAAGGGGTGCCTAAGAAAACAAAAGAGTCAGTGGCGAAGTCTCCCGACCAATGCTCGTCGTCCCCCTGGTGGTGGATCGGCGAATGGCCAAAACCAGGGCTCCGGTACACGTTCCGGACAGGTGGGTCATACGAACATCACTCCCTCGCTTGTCTCTGACAGGTCTCGCAGCAGGCCGCTGTAGAGCTTGCGATGAAGTCGGCAGACGCCGTCCTTCTTCGCCCAAAGACAGCTGTGGGCTGACCTTATACCCCATCGCCACTTATCGCAGCGGAGAGTGCTCGTCATGGACCGACAACTCTTCTGCGGACCTCAGTACAGGTGTGCCCTTCGAACGCATACCCTGGCCGTCGGCACATCCATGTCGCGTGCACTCGTACACTGTAACGACGAACCTGCCATCCGCGCGAGATACCCTGGGGGGTCCGAATCATTTCGGAGCCACATCTCGACTCAGACGAGGATACAGAAGACCTCGAACATCGAAGACACGGGTGTAGCCACTCTTCCATGCCGGCGCAGTAAGGTGGGAGCACTCGCGCACGATCGCGGCGATCATCAGTGAGCTAACCGCGGACCTCAACTGGACGTTGCTTCAGATTTGCAGCGGGTTGGATTCCGCTCCCCACTTCGGCTACCGGCTCTAGGCCACGTTTACGCACTGCGCCAAGGCCGAACATACCGGCGATTGGATGTCGGCCAGCAGAATGCCTTTCCCGGAGCTATGCCCCCGAGTCGGCGGAGAACAGGTAGTTACTGCATTCGCATTCGCATTGCTCGGTCTGCTGATGTCCGCCGACAGGATACAGCCCTGAGCGGCAGATCTAGGACATCGCAAAGTCTTCTTGCGATAATGCGGACTGCAATCCCTGCTTCTGCACACCAAAACTCGCCATGGCGTATTACGAGGACCAACGCATACGGCGCATCGGAGCGCAAGCGGTAGCCCGGGACTCACGCCCGCACCTGCGCTTCGATGAGCGTCGGTCCAGCCTGATTTCGATCTCAGGTGGGCCGATGGCCTCGTATCACTGCGCGAGAGGGCACAGGCACTGCAGCACTCCCCTGGTCGTAAGTCCCCCGTCGCTGTCTGGCTATGCGAGACTTATATACAGTTGCTGCAGACGCGAGCATGGTCGCATGGTTCCATTGCACCATGTGTACGCAAGCCGACAGTAGCGTCTAGCGGACGTGGCGACTCAACGCGGGCTGTTTCAGAACACGCTGAGCTCCGCTGGCGAGCTCGCTCTGGCCATGCTAACTTAGGGATGATGTCGAGGATCCCTGCGGATGCTTCAATCACCGGTATCCATCAAGGATGGACTGGCACCGAAGACATCCAGGATCCTTTCGACGACCCCCTCAACGTGTAATGGTCGTGAGGTGCTCACACGCGCGGTAGCAGCTCATGGGCGGGTCGCGAGCCCGTTGGCTTCTCGCACCACCTAGCGAGGGTTAGGACATCCATTCGACTGGTGCGTCGTCGACGGGAGAGTTCTCTCGTGCAACGCGTAGCGGTCGTGTGATTGTGCCTGTATGTGGAGGTCGCCAGGGGATGTGTCGAAGAATTGGTCGACTGATGTCGACGCTTCATCATTGTATTTTACAAACCATCCACGCGCTTACTCGCGCCGTGCCAACACCTGTACGGCCTACTTGCTGGCGAGTCTGCCCGACCTTGTTACATCTCAGTGCTCGACAGTACGTGGTCAAGGAGAAAGCCCAGGTCTCCCACCAAGGAGCATCACCTATCGCGGGAGTGAGTCGACTCACGTACATGAGGTCGTACAATGCAGACAAACTCACTCGGTTCGATGCGCAGAAGTCCACGGGCTGCCGCGTCTGGTAAGCACCGTCGCACTTCTGCATGATACTCGTCTACGCCAAATATGGACCGCTTGTGACAGAAGACGAGTTCCCAGGGGTTCAAACGATGCTGCGCAACGATCTTGGCAAGACGATCTAGTCGCAGTAGACGCAGACTCTCTTCGTCCAAGATCTCCTGGTTCGAGATCCTCAGTGCCAAGAAAGGCCGCGGTTCAGACGCGAGCTGGGAGAGCATGGGGACGATCCATTCGCCTCGGTCATGGAAATGCAGACGGAGAGTTCGTAGATTGACGTTACTGGTGAGTGTAGGAAATGCACCTTTGTCCCGGAGATCAACGGTGAATGAGACCCAGAATATATTGTGTACGCACTGGCATTCCTGGCCGGTCAAGACGTAGGACTGGGGCTTAGGACGAGATGCCGGAGCGCGGAACCAACCGCATCGATTAGTCTGTTCACTGGCTGTAGCTCCTGCATCTGGACGGATTGAATGTTCAGGGTGGGCAAGGACCTCAGATCGACGATGTCAGCGAGCATGTCGACCAACTCATCATACCATCTAATGTCCGACATGGCCATGGTGGTGAGCTTTAGGCGTGCGGAGACAGGCCTGAAGGACTCGGGCGAGTAATCCACCGTGGACCACCGGATGGTCCGGCAAATCAGAGTGGTTATGTTGGGTAGGGCCGTTATGAGGCGGCCAAACGAGTGCAGCGACGGGAGCATATAGCCTCTGATTTCCAACTTCCTCACGGAAACAAACTGACCGAGCGCGGTCAGAGACCGCGGCTGGGCGAAGAAGTTGAAGCCACAGCGGTTCTCGAGGCGGATGTGCTCGACGTGCGAGAGTTTGCCAACAAAAAGGAGCGGGAAGGCGCGCGTGAGGGTCCACCCTGAGTAGCGGGGCGATATTTGAAGCACCCGTACGGATGAGCAGCAGACGGCGTGTCGAGAGAGGAAACTGGAGAGGGACCATGCCTGCGTCCTGTCGCGAAGGCGGACTTGGTGGAGCAGATTGAGGCGACCGCGCGGGAGCCACGCTCGACAAACGAGTGCACAGGAGAGAAGGGTTATGCGATCGGGCCAGACGAAGTCGAGAATATGTTCACACAGCTCGACGGGGAGGAGAGGGCCATCGTTCACAGTGTCGTCGTGGTAGTAGGAGACCATGACGCGATCTACAGTAAGAAGGCACATCAGTGTAGTTTCTGAGTGTGGGAAAGGACCGTTGTATGGTCTTATGCGGTCGTTCCGCAGTCCTTCACGTAAATCTCCTCCTCCTCCTCCTCCTCCAGTCATGCTGACCTACCAATGGATCGAGTCCCGAGTCGTCTCGCATCGACTGCCGTATACACGACTCCCTGAGCTCCCACCGAGCTCCCTTTTATTAGCCACACGCCGTCCTGCAAATCACGACCTTCCTTATGGCCCAGTCGATCTCCCCGCGGCGACGTCCTCCAGAATCTACTGCACGCTGATAGTCCCCGAGAACGGCGTGAAGTCATGCAGCCGCGCAAAATTGAAGGGCGCCTCCAAGGGCGTGCAGTGCTTCGTGTGAGTGAGGGCGCGGAGAAAGCATGCATGCTGGATGACATGCGAGTGGACTGGCGAGTGAGTGCTCGCACCGTGTCCGTCTCGCGTTCGCGACAGTACAATTCGGGAGCTTCTGTATCGCGCGCCTCGTATTACGTCTCGTTCACCCCCAATCCCGATCGTGCGCACTGTGCCCGAGCCTTGGAGCGCGTACTCGCATTAAAATGAGCATCGGGCAGGCTCGAGGGCGGCGAGTGCGGGTGGTCTTCACACGTATCATTTGGGTTTGCTTCGGACACTGCATCTGGGCAGCGAGCACGACGCTGCACGACGGCGACGCGTTTGTGGCTGTGCCAAACTTACACCTGATTCTTAACGAGCCAATTGCGTTCGCGTCGTCGTATCTTGCAGCGTTCATCCTCTCGCAGGGCCGATTCTACTGGCTGAACTATTCGGAGTACCGATGCTCAAAGACAGTCTTGGTTGCTCTCTTGATTGACGTGCGTCGACAGTTCGCGTGTTTCCTCCAGTAGCTCGAGCAACAAGTCCTGCGAGGCTGTTATGTGTTCGACAGTGAACGGCGGAAGCGGGCGACGGTAGTGTTGTAGCACGCATACATGCAGGTTGGTTGAGAGCACTACCAGAGAATGACATAACAGCCGTTATTGGCTTTTACCGTGCAGCGCTGTTTCCTGCATCTCATTCTCTGCGCCGAAGTGTTCATTTGACCACGAGCATAGCTCACTGGTTTACCCTTGCTTCTTACGATAAGTCCTAGCGTCTCGCAGACAGGAAAGGCGGAATGTTTGATCCGATAGTCAACCATGCTACCTTGCCGGCCACAGGCTCTTCACCGTCTCAGCATCTTCCGTTGAATTGGGTGGCTTGATGCCGAGTTGCGTCGATGTGTTTCGACAATCTTAGCATCAGTGCGCTTCCGCGATGCCGAGCGACCGTCGCGGCACTCACTACTGGTACGTCAAATTGAGATTGACGGCGCTCAGAATCGTGTTCAGACAACAGACCGGGCGCTTACCGACTTTGCCCCGAGTCCCTACGCCGTGGCGGATGATGTTCGAGATGAAGCTATCATACTCTGACACCCGAAGCCTGCAGGCCTTGGATAGATAACGATATGGTGCTGAGGTATGTGGGCGCGTTAAAGGTGACATACACGCATACATACTCACATAAACTGCAGTCATATCTCAGCTGCGCCATTCCAAGGACCACTCACTGGCGTATCGATCTGCTGGACAGACATCGACATACATACCTATGGGGATACGGAGGTCTACCTTTGTCCTCTGCTTTCAACACCTACACCATGCGATTCAGTCCTTTTGTCCCTCTCGGCGCGCTTTTTGCTTTTTCTTTCCGCCGCCGAGGCTTCGGATGTTATCACTCTGACTGCAGCCAACCTTGATTCCGTTCGTCAAACACGAGCCATTGATCATGGTCGTGTTCTTCGCCCCATGGTATGTGAATCACTCTGCGCGAGGACATCCTCTGACTCTTCTAATCTGTGCTCAGGTGTCGATTTTGCCAGATTTTGGCTCCCAACTATGAGAGGGTCGCGACAAATCTCCAGGGCTCTGCGAAGTTTGCAAAGAATCAACTGTGACGATGCTCCGGAGTCAGAAGCCTGCAAGGCGAACGGTATCGAGCGCTTCCCGTACGTAGCTTTAACACTCGAGACTTGCAAGTTCTTGGATGATAACAGTTGGTTCTCGTCTAAGACACTACGGATCTATCGCAGCGGACAGTATACGCAGTACAGGAACGGACGGAGCGTCGCAGCATTGATTGACGCCATGATGGCTTACATTCCCAAGTGCGTCTGTAGCTGTCTTCATGCTCCTCATGTTCTGAGATCGTCGTGTCCTTCAGGAAGCCTGAACAACCGCCGTCTCATCCCTCGAGAAGGCAGTGCCTAGGGCGTGCTCACGGTAAAAGGACACGATGAGGAAGAGACCTTGGCTGGATCGCGCATATTCCGATTCCGAAGGAGCGGGGACATACGGTAGCATGATATTCGAGGCCCTCGCGTACTAGTACAAAGGTAACGATATACACTCGGACGTGGCCCTTGATCCCTCCTATCGCGACTGATGATCCTCTTAGTACTACTGTCTATGATCCCCTGATCGTGATGATAACCATTCGCCTACGGACTCGCGGTCTTGAGCCGGATACAATGATTAGATCAGCTATTGCAGTGCTAGCCTTGTGTTACTGTTGTGTACGCACGAAGGCGGCAGCAGAAGAAACTGATGATCACAAATGGGCCCATCAGCACGATCGTCATTCCGGGATGTTGACACGGTTGCTTCGAGACAGTCCAAGATTAGAAGAGACAGTTGTATCGCGCAGAAGCCTCCGCTCATGATCAGCATGCTACCTTCCGTCCTCGCTCGCTCAGCGCATAGACGACCAATCTGCGTCCTCCCATAACATAGACACGTACTGAGTACAACCTTCTCGAAGGTGGGACGGCCCAAGCAGTGGTCCACGACGATGTCCGAGTCTGGAAGACACAACGACATGAACACGTGCGGAACACGGAGACAGATTATTGACTTGCGCGCGGACGCCTTGAGAGCGGATACGACAATGTCGTCGGAGGTCAAAGGGTCCGCCGGGTACGCGGCGAAGGCGCCATAGCGGTAGAATCTGTAGTGTCCTAGATGATGATGTGACTACACTGGCATCCCATCAAATTTCAATCACCCTCGAACTTCGATCAGTATGGGCACACAGATGCGCCCACTGTGTCGGGCAGCGTGGACTTGACCATCGTGAGAGGCTCCGAGGCGCGTGGCCACGACTCTTGTCGTGCGCAGTGTGGATGGAACGCTCGCGGCCGTGTCGTATCAAAGCATACAGGCAGACCACGGAGTTCTTGTATCGCTAGTCGTCTGGTACGTGACAAGTTCTCAGAGCCTCCCGTTCTACCCGCGTTGCATCGTCGAGTCCATGGAACGGTGGCCACATCGACGAGAAAGATCAAGCCTCCGACCCGGAGGAGGTCGATTTCGTCCTTGTCCGAGAGGAATTTGGCCATGAATCGCCGTCGACACCGTGTGGCTTTAATGGGCCCCAGACGACATACGAAAGGTCTCTGGTCTGCGGGATGTATGTTAACAGCCGACTCGAGAGCAGGGGCGCACAGAGCGGGACGCACCTCTCATCACCTCAGCGACTCGGATAGCAGTTCGTGGATGCGTCACTAGACATTGGATAACAAGTCAGCGACCTCTAGAGACTGATGGATGCGCATGACGTACACTGAATCCAGGCACGCTACAGCCCTAGCAGATGCGCCGCGGCCTGTAATCAGTCTGTAGCCACTCGCGACGTCCTCATCCTCCCACCAGCTCCATATTCAAAACACTCCGACTGCTCGAGATGCTGGCTTATAAAATCATGGCGTTACATGCATGAGCAACACTCAACTGATCCTCAAAATACCAAGCACACGTCAGTGAGTCATCACGTTACGCTTCACATTACAAGTGGTACGCAACTCGAATGTACACGATGCGTACAACAGGCGCGAAATACATCGGAACAGCTCCACGATCATGCTCGTACGTCCGCTCAGTCAAGCTCATCTATCTCAAAACCGCGCTCGAACAGCTCGCCGTCGACGTCGTACTCCCGGGCAAACCACTCATTGTCGCCCCGGGGTCGCGGGTAGTAAGGAGTAGCGGGACGAGGGGGCGCCCAAGGCCTGGGCGCGGGAGGGGAGGGGTAACGGGACGAGGGGGACGAGGGGGCTGCCTGCGTGCCTCCAGGTCACGCGCGACTATGTCGTAGTAGTCGCTTCGGGGTCGCGGACGAGGGTCAGGGCCCGGATGGAGGGGAGGAGGACCAGTCTGCCGCACAGGCCCCTTGCGTCCGGGCAGGGCACGCTCGACTATCTCGTCGTCGCTCCGGACGCGGTTGGGATGCGAATGAGACGGATGAGACCCAGAATAGGCGTGTCGAGCTGACCCGCTCGGCGAATTCACGTCGGGACGTTGGCGGTGCAGATTCGCCGCATCCTTCTTTATCATCCCGGCGAGATGCGTAGGCCCACGGGCAGAGTCTTTGCGTGCCTGCAGGTCCCGAGAGACGAGGTCGTCATAGTAGCCGCGCTCCACCAGTTCATCTTGGAGTTCACGCTCAACTATGGAGGCATCCTCGGTCGCGCGACTGTTATTGTATGGTCAGCTATGACATAAGAATCAACAGCGAGGGGCTCACATGGTGACCGGGTGAGCGAGCGCGGGAGCAGCTGCCGCCGCCAAAAGGACAGCGGAGGCGAGTGTAGAGTAACGCATGATGTCGTGTATGCACTGGGGTCGTTACGATGGACTTCGGTGGAAGGAACGTGAGTCGTCAAAGAAAAAAAAGAGCGAGGCTGGAGGGGGTCAAGGGGTAAGTGCACATTCGAACTACCGTTGTCGCGGAACACTCACCTGCCGGCAACCTACTCGGTGGGCTCGAAGGAGAAGAAGAGCTGAGGGATCTGTGAGGCGCAGCTCTCCCTTTATACGCCAGCATTTCCGGACTTGGAATAACAGCAGCGAAGACAAGCTTGTCTTGTGCCGTTTATTCAATTTTTCACCCGCTCGGATCATCGTGCTTGACAGTTTTTGGCTTCAAGTTGACAGGCTTTGACAGGCTTGACAGATCGTCGCTTCCTGATGGTGGCGCAGACGCTTCGACTTGCATCGCATGGTGGCGCTCCAACTTGCGCCGCAGCCTGGTGCACGTGAGCCATTCACTCGTCGTCGAGTATGAGTGGCCTGCTGCTGCAGACTGGCGGGACGATAACTCGACTAGCCACTGCCGGCACAAAGCATCGGGGATGTAGACTGGGGAATGACGTCGGCGTCGCTGTGCCGTGATGCGGAGATTGCATCGCAATCACCTTCACCTTTGGCGATCTGTCGATCACCACCCACTGCACAGCCACCGTATCACGACTGTGCAGGATATACTGGGATATATAACGATCAGAAAACGGTGCCGCAAAGGCTTGGTAGAGACGTAGCTTGATGCAGTCTGCTGCAGTCGTCTCAGGCGAGGCACGGTAGGATGGACGGGGGGTGACGTACCTCTCATCGCCTCACCAACAGTGCTAGTGTGACCTGACAAGGGCCACGATGACCGTCGCGGAAGCTACATGCATATGTGTATCACCTTGATGTAAGGCTCGTGAGCGTCCTTGCCAGTGGCTGGTTACGTGCAGAGCCGAGGAGACACCATCGACAGAGGCAAATGGTCGTGGAAGAAGATGACGGACAGACGGTGAGTCACCGATCGGGCAAGGATCTCCTCGGCCACAGACGCGTCGCCGGCGCTTTCTGCCATTCGCCTCGGCCACTGGCACGTCGCCTGCTACGGCAACGACTGATTAATTGTAAGCTCGTATTCCTAGTACATTTACAGAGAGAGGATAGCAAAGATGATACGACTGCCGAAGTTAAACGCGTACTTGGGTGCAGTGTAACAAATGTCGCGGACGATGTTGGTAACTGAAGTGGAAGGATCACTGAGGGCTCGCCGCCGGACGCAACACCCCGTTCGACAATTGCAAACCGCGAACGACTGTCGAGTTGCAGGCCACTCTCAGCTGGAAGTGCTCACGAGCAAGACGACTGTCCCGCTCCAGAAGCATCCCAGCGGGGGTAGCCATTCGCCCGCGCCATTGTAACTCCGTTTGCATCACACGGTGTGACTGCACTGTTGCGCAGCACCCTTGGCCTTCCGAGCGTCGCCGCATCAGCCGAGCATCGGCCAGCCGAGTACGTCCAAAGCTTACCTCAAGCTGCATGTTTTGAGTCCGCGAACCCGCCGGCCGTGCCACCATCGCAGAAACGAATATCAACCGACATCGACGGGCGTGTCGCAGATCGCCCGGATGCCTGAAATGGGCGGGAGTTCCAGCTACGGGGATGCCCGACGGACTATGCGCGCCCGACGCGCATCAGGTCGAGCGACCCTCGCATGCGAGGAATGAAATAGATGGAAGGGATAGGGCAGCCTTCACCACCATGGTCTTCGCACCCCTGTTTGAATGCCGCTGTGCGACTGCACCGGTGCGTAGCACCTGTGGCTCCCTTCGAACCGGCGCCGCGTCAGTGAGAACCTCTCGATCGAGTACGACCGAAGCTTACCTCAAGCTGCGCAATCTTAGTCCTCCACAGAGCGAACACGCACCCTGCCACCATCGCAAGAATGGAGTGCACAGGACCATCGAAGGATCGTGCCGCGGCACGTGCGGATGCCTGGAAGGATGCGGGGTCGGGCTCGGGAGGATCCCCGATGGTCTACGACCCATCTACGCACATCTGCTCGCACGGCCGCGCGGCCGCGATGAACGTCGGCTGCAGGTGCATGTCAACCTCCCGACCCTTGTCGCTTACGGCGCGCGCTCGTTTCGCGCATTTTCGGTCCGCGCGCAGCCGGAGGTGGGGCCGTGGCCGGTCGCTACGCGGGCATTCGGGGGCCTGTGGGACGGAGCGTTGGGTCAGGCTTGAGGATCATGGGGACTGGGGAAGGGAACGTACGAATTCGAGGGCGTAACGGTGAGAGCACGTCCGTGGCGGAGGAGGCCCTTACCTCTTGCGCTCTCGTTGAGGTGGTCGTTGCCTGTTGGTGTAGGAGGAATGGTAACGGGGGCATGATGGAGAGGTGCGGTTGTCGGAGGCGTGGCATCGTCGAGCTGTGTATATGAGATGTAAGCTCAGTGGGAGCGTCCAGGGTATTTATACCTGAGCTGGAGGCCCGTGGGCATTGTTCCTCGGGCCAAAGCGCGATATGGTGACAACGGGTGGCTTTGTGGGGCGACGACCTGATCTGGATTGGATCGCCTTCGGTTGTCAGGGCCTGCGACACTACGTGGCATTGTCAGTCCGACTGCGCTAATCATCATAGGGGTCAACCGACTGCTCAACTTCGGCTATTTGAGTTCGCAGCTGCACGGAGGATGTTCGAACTGGACGTACAAAGACTGAAGAGTGTTTGCTGTGGTAGCGAAACTCACGTTGACCAGTGATCGTCCCTAGGGCCATACGCGGCGAGATCTAATGCGCCACGTCCACGATTGTTCGTCCGAAAATGGAATGCAGTTGTGTCATTGTTACGGATCCAGGAGGCAGAAGTGGCGTACGCTTTGACAAGTGGCGCGCCGAATGTGACGCTTAGAGGTAGCGACCTGTGGTCCAGGTTGCCAAGCGTCCTTGTTCTCTGGCCCCTGCGTGGCGCGCTAAACGTATAAATACGGCCTCGCTCTCTATCGTTTCCCCACACACCTTCGCACTTCGACTGAGTTCACCTCGCTGAGCATATCCACCATCATGCGACCGCCCGTCGCCCATCGACTTGCCGCACCCCAGGCGGCGTTCCTCCCGCACGTCACCATTCCTCCTAACCACTCTGCAGAGCGACCTCCGCGCCCTTCGCGCAGACTTTGATTCCGCGCATTACGCACTACGGGGGTTTCTGATGACCCAGCGAAGCGTCGGTGGCGCTACTCTCGTACGTGAGTGTCCTCACCCTCGTTAAGCCCCGTATGGAAAATTCAGTGACTCACGACGTGTTCCCTTGCGCAGACTCCCGCAGTCACGTCACCGAAGACGCGCCCGAATGACCCTTCCCAGCCTCAACAAGCGGAGTTAGTGGCCATAAAAAGCCACACCCATACAAGTACGCCCCGCACCCACCGCGCGCCCCCTCCGCAAAACGGACGCTGGAGCTTCACTATTCACCCGCGACTCGCGCGGATGACGATCCATCGCTGCATCCCCGGTACAACAGACCCCGAGCGCGACGCATTAAATTTGTATAGCTATATCCACGTCACCCACCGAGGACACTAGCGAGGACATGCGGACGTACCGCTTCTGACCTGGACTCTCACGAGGTTCTGGGATCTCTGTCACTCGCGCATGCTCCTCGGGGATGGCACGGCAGACAAACATTGCAATAGGACCTGGCGGGATGGGGGCCAGCCTGTGCAGGCCTCTCCGCCAGAGGATTCACTAGGACGACGTGGAGAAGCAGGGTCTCCCGAGTTGCATGGTCCCTCCGGGAGAGTTCTCCTCCGATGGGCATGTGAGTCGCGAGGCGCTTCGATAGTTGCACTGCGCTGAGTCTGCGGGTCGACGACTGCGAGCGGGATGAACGCCGGGAGAGCTACTTGGCAGTTGATGGAGCGAGTGTCTATGCTATCGCGGCAAGAATGAGACGGATGTTATGGTGCGTACGTATGGCTCACCGCTGTCACCGACTCGGAGTGCACTGGCCAGCGCGTTGTCGACGCCCGGTCGACGCGTCTGTGGCTGAGAGATCGCTTCCCCGATCGTGTCCCTTTTCGGTTGTGGCTGATATTCGTGTTGGTTGTCGTCGTCCATCTTAGACTCTAGCCCTCGCTCGCTGTCACACCACGTCTTGTCGGGTTTCTCGCATTAGCCATCGTCCAAGATACTGGAGTCGCTGACAATACATCCCTTGACTATATGCGCGATCCCTAGTACGCAGCTGGCTTGGCAGGGGATGCGAGCTGGGACCATGCTGGCATGGCGGTGTGTTCCACTATGATCCATTTGGCCGCGTCTCCCAGTTTATACGTAACACGCGTTCACCACTTTTTTCACTTAGGGCGCGTCCATGTGAGGCAAGCATTGCCCAGATAATCGCCACTCATTTTGTTGTTCCTCTCGCGCCTGCATTGTGCGCCCAACGTCCCCCAGCGTATAAATACCCAACCTACACCGCTACTCACCCACAGAAACTGCATATCCCCTCTCCACTACTCTCTTTCCGCAGCCTTTGCCATGCTGTCCCGCTTCCGACTCGGGGGCAGTCGCAGCGCGGCGCGGCCCTTGACCCTCTCTCCGGCACGCGTGTGGCGCTCCCGACAGGCGTCACCATTCCTCCTAACCACCTTTCACACAACCTCGCGAGCTGGTATTCATGCCGGGTAGCGTGCGTAGTGCCATATCGAGGCTCCTCTCTGGAAATCGTACACCATCTGCGCAACGCCCTCACATTGGTACGTCCTATGAGTCGCTTCCCGTAGACCGCTCTGCCGGGATTGACTTGCGGTTGCTGTAGACCGACATACCACGGCCGCGTACATCTGAGTCAGAGCAGCAAGCGCATGCGTCAGTCCCTGGCCGGCTCTGATGAGCGCGCCCACTTACGTCGTTCCTCAAATCGCGGATTCGTACCCGCTCAGCGTCATTGAACGTCCAGCCGAAGAACGTCCGTCACCAGCTTACCACCGAAGACGCTAGCAGCAACGGCCGATCGTCGTCAAACTACCGAGGACCGACTCGCGCTGGAGCCACTCCGAGAGTACTCCATTCATGACTGGCTTTCAACAACCCGTACGCACACGGAGCTGTCTAGGCTTCGCCGCTGTCGCCTGTGACGAGGGCCACGTATGGATTCCCAATGTCCCATGATTACGGCCGACATTGCGCGCGGCATAGTGATGAGTGGATGGGGTGGCCATTCGACTGCTGCGCCTTGCGCGGGGGAGTCCTCTCGCGCGAAACGTAGCGGTCGTGTGACTGTGCCTGTTCGTGGAGGATTGGGTTGGGACAGGCAGATCCCGCTCCACCGACACGTCGCAACCTGTGGCCATCGGATCCAGGAGAAGGCTCGATCCATTTCGTCGTTCCCATCCTTCGGCCAGCTCCATGTATATGATTACTGCCACTCGGCTATATATCGTTAGTGCGCGATTCATTTGGCTCGCATAATGGCATTACATGCATTAATAGCAACACTCGACTGGTGCTCAAATTTCCAAGCGCGCATGACTGAGTCTTCACGTTACATATTATTGATATGGCGAACACGATGCGTACAGCAAGCAGAGGCACATCTATGAGTCCCATGATAATGATAAGATGTCCGCTTAGTCAAGCTCGTCTATCTCGAAGCCGCGCTCGAACAGCTCGCCGTCGACGTCGTACTCCCGGGCAAACCACTCAGTGTCGCTCCGGGGTCGCGGGTAGTAAGGGGTAGGAGGACGAGGGGGCGCCCAAGGCCTGGGCCGGGGCGGGGGAGGGGTAGGGGGACGAGGGGGACGAGGGGGCTGCCTGCGTGCCTCCAGGTCACGCGCAACCATATAGTAGTAGTCGCTTCGGGGTCGCGGGTAGTAAGGAGTAGGAGGACGAGGGGGTGCCCAAGGCCTGGGGCGGGGCGGGGGCGGGGTAGGGGGACGAGGAGGACGAGGGGGCTGCCTGCGTGCTTCTAGATCACGCTCGACTATCTCGTCGTAGTAGCCGCGCTCCACCAGTCCGTCTTGGAGCTCACGCTCAACCACGGAGGCGTCCTCGGTCGCTCGACTGTTATTGCATGGTCAGCTATGACATAGGAATAATAAGGAAGGGGCTCACGTGGTGACTGGGTGAGCGAGCGCGGGAGCAGTTGCCGCCGCCAAAATGACGGCAGACGCGAGTGTAGAGTAACGCATTATGTCGTGAATCAACAAGGGTCGTTACGAAGGATTTTGGTGGAAGGGACGTGAGTCAAAAAAAACGAGCGAGGCTGGAGCGGTGCAAGGGTCAGTGCAACATTCAAACAGGCTACCACCATCGTTGAACACTTACTTGCCGGCAACCTACTCGGTGGCTTCGAACTTCGAAGGGAGAAGAGGGACTGAGGAATACGGTAGACATCCCTTCGAGCCCTTTATACGCTGGTATGCACGAACTCGGGATCCCAGAAGATCGCCGTGCACTGGCATCGCCAGCGTGCTTGAGCTCTTGACTTGCTTCAAGTTGACAGCCTTTGACAGGCTTGACAGACCGTCGAATGGTGGCGGATCATGGAATCAGAAATCTTGCGCCGCACCCTGGTGCATATGTGAGCCACTTACGCGTCTTCGAGTACAAGTGGCGTGCTGCTGCAGAGGAGAGCAGACTGGCAGGTTTTACGGTCAAATGAGCACTCGACTACTAGCCACCGCCAGCGCAAAACATCGAGGATGCTAGACTGGAGAATGACGTCAGCGTCGCTCTATACTGTTGCAGTGGTGAGAGCAAGTACTGAATCATCCACGGTAAGTTAGTCGAGCTTTGATGATCATGATGGGAGATTCCATCGCAATTACATCCATGTTTGGCAATAAGTCGATCACCCTAGGAGACCCACCCCCACCGTACAGCCACCAACATGAAATAGCGATGCCGCAAAAATGCTTGACAGAAACTGGTGCTAGATGTGCCAGACCACCTTACTATTTACGACGGTGGGTAGACGGACCTACTATTGACCGGGCGTCGGTTGTCTGATACATATCGCCCACAGTGAAAGGCATCGGCATCGGCATCGTCTCTGTGCCGCATACGCTGACTACAGACGACACACGAGGAGCGAGTCCTCGGATAACGGTGACGTACCTCTCATCGCGTAGGCAACAGTGTTCTGGCCAAGCCCCATCAGCCATAGTTTTTGCCCTAGACCACGGCGGTTCTGAATAAGCGGCAGGCGTTTACCTGTGCTGGACTTGGGGATCTACTTAGCTAGTCGGCATCCTAGTAAGTTAACAGGAAGTGCGAGAAGGAGCAATCGCTCTGACTAAAAACATTCGTATCAAACAGCGTCCAGTTTCGCGCGTTTTGTATCGCTACTGTGGATGCTTGCATGCAGAGGCCGCGTTGCAGCCTGCGTATGTGTACCGTGTTCCTGAGGTGGCTCCGAGAAGATGAATGGTGCCAGACAGTAGCAGCCGGACATCACGTCAGCAGTGAGTATATCGTGCTGCACGCGACGTCGATATACTCACAAAGGCGGGATCCGTGGCAGTTTTGTTTCACTACGCAACAGTCATCATCCGTGTCCTGGACTCCTGTAGATACTGGGTTGAATTGGAACCACGGGATTGGGCGAGGCGGGTGCCGAAGAGGGTCCAGAATGATGTATCGAAGCGACGATGAGTTCGGAGAGGAACGATCGACAACTCTCTGGGCGGCGTCCAGCGACCCGGATACTCGCACTAGCTCGACACATACTCACTGGTTCTGGATCCTGCGCTCGCGATAGTATCGCGACACCTCCCTATCCCACGCGCTCGATCTACTGGTTCTGCACGAATTGCACGCAGCGTCCGATCTTCCGCTCGAGCTGCTCGAGCACGCGCACTTCGTACGTGTTGCTCGTCCCAACCCTGCACATGGTGCCCGTGTTCTGCAGCGTGACGAGCGCATGTCACGCGCTCACGGTGTCGGCCAGGCGCGAGAGTGTCGAGTGCGGGAGGGGGCTGTCGAGGTGAGTCGTGTGCAGGTTCTGAAGCGAGTTATCGACGGAGGTGGGAATCCGGGTGGGGATTATTGTAGGGGAGCGGTTTGGAGCGGTCTTGCCCACCGAGCTAGGCTAACCTGGGGAGTGAAGAACGGTCGTAAGAAGAGGGTTGGAGGTGTGTCATTTGTGAGGCTCACTTTGTCCGGATCCAAAGGTCCTCTTCCCTCGCGCTTGATGCCGTGTTGTTTCTGTAGAATGTCCAGCACTTCGCCTACAAGTTCTTCGGCGCTGCAAACAGCGGTATCAACAGGGAATTTGAGCATTCCCAAAACAATCATACATACCTGTAATGCTTTGGCTGGCCGGCTACGTAGCGCGGGATGAACATGTGTGTACCGGTTCGAGAGCGCGGAAGCCATTGACCATTGACCGCATTGACGACAAGCTCAGTGGCGCGCTCCTTCGTCCTCGAGTTCCCCACGTCAATCCTAGCGACGACCTAGCAGTTGCAGCACACATCACGCAGTGCCGTAAATAGTCTCTGGGGTGATGATCGCAGCGACGCAGCCTCACATACAAATGAGTACCGGAGAGCGTTAGGGATCAGTTTGAATGCTCTGAGACGGCGGTGGACGGCGGTGGATCGTCGCAGCAGAGCCTTGAGGACCGTGACGGTGTGGTAGTTGATGCCGCCGGTGACGTCCCTGAGTCCTCGTTATTCTACTTAGTAGTCCGTACGGAGAGCACCTTCAAGTCGCCAGATTGAACGTTGCGTACATCGTATGCATATGAATGGGCTGAGGTGCGAGCGGTCACGATGAAGCCCTGGACGTATATCGGCGTTGAATCACGACCTAGTACAATAGTCATGAACTTGAAACCATGAGCTGGCGGAAAGATACGACGTACTGGGGACGCAACGTATGTCGCGGCTTGACTCGAAGTTCGGGTTCCGGATATCCTTGTTGTATTACGCGTTTTGCGAGGAGAGTAGTCAGTCTCGCTCGGCGCGCTCAGGACGCGTCCGTGGTCAGTGCTCAGAGATCGCGCCCCGATCTCATCATTGCGGAATGACGGGTGAGAGTGGATTGAACGGCGGGAGCGCTTCTCTGACCCGGTCATGGAACCAATGTTCATGCTATTGCGGCAGGAATGGGCACAGCGTAGTGACGGTACGCACAGTACGTACGCCAGCTCGTGACCGCTGCAACCGGCTCAAATGCAGCGCGCTTACGCGTCTGTGGCTGAGAGATCGCCCCCCGATCTGGCATCCTTCGCGTCGCCGTCGTCCATCCCCGAGCCCTTGCTCGCTGTCCCGCCACATCTTGTCGGACTTTCACGCAGTATTGGACAATATAAGCTGCTGACATTACACGCCTAGACTATGTGCGCAATCCCCGGTACACAGCTGAGTTGGCAGTCGGAAATGCAGCGAGCTTGGACTCCCGTACTTATTGGCCTCAGGCTCAGGCGCCGGTGAGTTCCATATAATACATGTCTCCCCGTCTCCTAGCTCCTTGTTTTCCCTCCCTCTCCGGAACTATGCGTTCAACGCCGCTCAGTATATAAATACCGTTCTCGCACTGCTGCCCACCCACAGACACCGCATACTATTAACTTCTCTTCGCCCACTACCGGCCCGCCCTCAGGCTGTCATGTCGTCCTCAGGCTGCTTGTGGCTTGGAGGCGGTCATCGCTCGACGCAGGCCTTGACCCTCTCTTTGTTATTTACTTGGCGTTCCCTTCACACGTTACCATTATTTAGTATCAACCTCCTCTCTGAACCTCGCACGCCATTTATGCAACACCCTGCTATAGCCTGGTACGTCCTTCTCTTCCCGTAGACCGCTCTGCCGGGATTTACTTGCAGGCAGGTGCTGTCGAATGATTCCCGCGTACATCCGAGTGGGAGCAGCAGGCTCATAACCGATGGTCAGCCTGCCCGTCCTTGCGAAGTATTGGCGGCTGCCAGTGCTCGACTTCAACTTCGAGACGTCGTCCGTGTGCGCGAGCACCTCACGGGTGAGCCGTTCGATCTGTTGAGGGCCAGTGTTGACCCGCTGATTACTTGAGTGGCCCCATCGAGAGTCGGCCCTCGAGAGCTTGACGGCCCCGGCGAAGGCCTGTTGCTGGTAGCGTCTTCGGTGGTAAGTTGTTGACGGGCCTTCTTCGGTTGCCATATTCTGGTACCGAAAGGCTCTGCATGTGCGTACGAGTCCCCGAGCTGAGGAATGACGTGAGTGAGCGCACTCCGCATAGTGGCTTGTCAGGACTAACACATATGCGCTCTATAGCTCCATTGGATGGACGATCGTTGTGACACTGAACGTGGCCACTAAGGCCTCGCTGCTATGGCTGGCGACGACGGCCCGGTATAGGCTTCGGTGCCCCTTGTCTACAACCGAATGTACGCGGCATAGTGATGGAGTTGCCGCTCGGTGCGCCTTGCGCGGGGGAGTCGAAGTATAGCTGTACTAGTAGTGTGACTGCATCTGCTCGTGGGCAAATCCCGCGCCATAGAGGCGTCGAAATTCGTAGCCAATCGCATCCAAGAGGATCGGGAGGAATTAAGTCGTCCTCATCCTTCGTCCAGCCTCATGCTCAAGCGCTCATGTTTACTGCCACTCGGCTATACTGCTCGAAACATTTCGCTTGCACAATGTCATTACGTGCATTAGCAACACCCCTCCGGTCCTCAGATTCCCAAGCACGTATGACAGAGTCTTCACGTTTGATTGGTATTGCCAGTGGTACGCAACAATGTACACGATGCGCACAATAACCAGAAATACATATCAGCCCCATGATCATGTTTATACGTCCGCTCAGTCAAGCTCGTCTATCTCGAAGCCGCGCTCGAACAGCTCGCCGTTGAAGTCGTACTCCCGGGGTTTCTTGGGAAGGAATTCGGCTTTCTGCGCCGGGCGGTACGGCCGCGGATGTTGCAGAGGCGTACCCTCCCTAGACGCGGTCCAAATTGCGCTCGGCGGATCCCGAATGAAGCCGGGATTCTGACGCATCCGGTCCTGATGCTCCTTCCTCATCCGAGCTATCGACGCGGCGTGCGCCTTATCACTCTTTGAAGGGCCGCCACCACGCGCCTCAAGGTCTCGAGAGACGAGGTCGTCGTAGTAGCCGCGCTCCACCAGTGCGTCTTGGAGCTCGCGCTCAACTATGGAGGCATCCTCGGTTGCGCGACTGTTATTGATGGTCAATACGACATAAGAATAAATAACGAGAGGCTCACGTAGTGACCGGGTACGCGAGCGCGGGAGCTGTCGTCGCCGCCAAAAGGACAGCAGAGGCGATCGTAGAGTAACGCATGATGGGTCTTGTATGCTCGGGGGTCGTTACGAAGACCTTCGGTGGAAGGGACGTGAGTCGTCAAAAAAGAGAGCGGGGCTGGAGAAGTGCAAGGGGTAAATATAACATTCAATTGACCACCGTCGCTGAACACTCACTTGCCGGCAACCTACTCGGTGGGCTCGAAAGGAGAAGAGGAGCCGAGGGATACGGCAGGCATCCCTCTTCCTTTATACGTGCGCGTGAGTATGCACGGACTCGGGATCCCAGAAGATCGCATCACTGTGCTTGACAGCTTTTGACAGGCTTGACAGATCGTCGCGTGGTGGCAGTACGCGCCGCCTGGTGCATGTGCACCATTTGTTCGTCGTCGAGTATGAGAGGCCTGCTGCTACCGAAGGGAGCAGACTGGCGAGACGCGACGATAACTGGACTAGCCACTGCGGGCACCAAGCATCGGGGACATAGACTGGAGAATGACGTCAGCCCGTCGCTCAGTATGCTATTGCAGTAGTGAAGCATACATTCATCTACGGTAGCCGAGGAGATGCTATGCAGAAGAGACCAGACACTGAGACAGAGATCGGCTCCAAAGCTGCTGTCAGCTGCAGGTCGATGGCATGCATAGAGTACGAAGCGGTCTTGATCTCACATGACCTGCCTAGTACTGGCTGCATTGCCGCTGCTGGAGGGATTGTTGTGTCACCTCAGGGTGGACGGACCTTTTCGCTGTGTTGAAGCAACAATGGATGCGAAGCCTCGCGCAAGACGTAAGTACACTGGCGTGCGAGGCGGTCCAAGTCCTCCGATAGTCACGTAATACGAGCGATCTAAGGACGTCCTCGTCTGCTCCAACAGACCGAGTGTCGGTTATGATAATGCATGGCGCCCACAGTGAAAGCCAGTACAGATCGACTCAAGTCGACGGAAGCTAAGTAGTAAGCCCTCTGCCCGGGCCTGCCACAAGCGTGAACAGGCCTTCGGCGAGCAAGATCAGGATTGTCCTTGCACGAGGCCCGAGGGCCACTTAACCTGGGCTGGGCATCGTCATCGATATCGTCGGATAGAAGAAGGATGACGCACCTCTCATTGCGCAGGCAACAGTGTTCCGACCACTGGCTTGAAGCCCCATATCCCGTAGCTGCTAAACGCTGCTGTTCGGGACGAGCGGCAGCCGTACTTGTGGATCTAGTCTGAGTGACAAGAGGTGCGAGAGGGAGTGGTCGCTCTGACGAAAGCATTCGTGCCGTGCAATTCGGCAATGTCTACTTACGCGGGCTTTCTTCACACGGCTGTGGGCAATCGCGTGACTGCGACTTGCATGCAGAAGACACGTTGCCCTTGCAGCCTGAGTATGTATACCGTGTTCTTAAGGAGGCACCGAGAAGGTGAATGATATCGGATAGCAGCTGGACGTCACGTCAGCAGGGAGTATACCGTACGCCACGCGATGTAGATGTACTCACAAAGACGGAATCGAAGTGGTCGCGGCAGTTTTTGTTTGACTATGCGACAGTCATCGCTCGTGTCCTGCATACTATCGACTTGAAGTGGGTGAGGAGGGATGGCGAGCCGGAAAGGGTCCAGAATGATCTGTTGGGGCGACGGTGAGCTCGGCGTAGCACGATCAACAACTCCAGGCGGCATTCAGCGACCCGGATAATCGCACAAGATCGACGAATACTCACTGGTACTGGATCCCGCTCTCGCGACAGTACCGGTACACCCACGCGTTCCCCTCGAGAGTCGGTTCTGCACGACCGCGGTGCCCGATCTTCCGCTGGAGCCGCTGTCGTACGTGTTGCTCGTCCCGTTCGTGCGCACTGTCCACACGTTCTGCAGCGCGACGAGCGGTGCGCGCCGCGGAGAGCGGCGAGTGTAGAAGAAGGTTGTTGAGGTAGGTCGTGTGCAGGTTATGGAGCGAGCATCCGACGGAGGCGTGAATCTGGGTGGGGATGGTGGTGTCACTCTGGCTGCATGGGGAGGGGTTTAGATCGGTCTTGGTCGCCGAGCGAGGTTAACCTGGGTCGTAAGAAAAGGGTTGGAGGAATGTCATTGGTGAGGCTCACTGTGCCCAGGGCTCCAGATCCAAAGGTCCTCCTCCCTCATGCTTGATGCCGTGTTGTTTCTGTAGATGTCGAGCGCTTCGCCTACGAGTCCTTCGCTGCGAAGAGCGGGAAATTTTCGGCGGGGAATTCAAGAATTCCCAAAGCGATTATACTTACCTGTAGTGCTTTGTCTTGTAGTGCTTTGTCTGGACGGCGCGTCGATGAGGCGTGGTGAGAGACGAAACCACAGAATCAAGAGATGAACAGGTGCGTACCAGTGTCGGAGGCAATTGAGGATCGCGCTAACGACTATGTAGGTCAGTGGCAGTGCGCTCCTTCTTCCTCGAGTCCTCCACGTCAATGGGCCCGGCGACGACGTAGTAGCACTTGCAACACATACCACGCAGTGCCGTCAATGATCGTTGCGGTAATGATCGCAGCAACTCCACGTCAGAGCGATCGTACGAAAGAGTGCCAGGGAGCGGTAGTGGTCTGTCGCAGCCTTGAGGTTAAGCTTGAGGACATGACGGCGCGGTGGCTGAGGCCAGTGACCGACGCGTCTGTGGCTGAGAGATCGCTCCCCGATCTCATCCTTCGGCCGTGGCTCGCCGTCCATGTCAAACCCTTGCTCACCGCTACCGATTCAGAATCATTCGACATTGCACCGTCGACTCTCCCGGCCAACGCAAGTTTTTTTCTATATGCGTGATCCCCGGTATACCGTGACGGCTGCCAGTGAGCAGGGACTCGGGGGGAGATGCGAGCTTGGAACATATTAGCCCGGCGGTGAGTTCCACGATCATTGTCCCAGTATGCGTATGGTCAATGACAGGTCGATGGGAACACGCATCGACCGTATCCGCCACTCATGCCTCGTGCGTGCGCGGCAAGCACCGCTAAGACGGTCGCCACTCCTGTTGTTGTCTCTCGCGCCTGCGTTGTGCATCCAATGTCCACCAGGCCGTATAAACACCCATCCCGCACCGCTACCCACCCGAAGGAACTGCATACCCTCCTCTCCGCCCCTCTCTTTGCGCACCCTTTGCTGCGTCGTCCAGCTTCCGACTCAGAGTCGGTCGCCACCCGACGCAGTCCTTGATCCTTTCTCTACCACGCGGCGGCCCTGTGGCGCTCTGTTCAGGCCGTTCCTCCTGACCACATTTCACCGAACTTCTCGAAGGTTTCTACTGTCGGGTAATGGTGCCACACTGCTTGCAAACCTCCTTCGAAACCTGTACACCATCTGCGCAACGCCCTGACATTGGTATGTCCTCCTCTCCCCGTAGGCCGCTCCACCGAAAGTGACTTATAGGTGCTGTAGACTTTTCACGTTCCTCAAATCGCGGACTCGTACGCACGTATAGAACCGCTCGGCGTCAACATCTGGCCGAAGAACGCCTGTCATCAGCTCACCACCGAAGACGCTACCAGCAACAGCCGTTCGCCGTCAATCTCTCCAGGGCCAAGTCGCGCTGGCCACTCAAGTAGTGCACGGGTCAACATTGGCTCTCAACGTTCAACAGCCCGAAAGGCTCGCCCGCGGGGCGCGCACGCACACGGACGACGTAGTTGAAGTCGAAGTCGGGCGGTCACCATCGATTCTCGAGCTGTGGGCTCATGGCTGCGTATAAGTAGCGGACGTTATGGCACTCGACGTGGCCGTTCAGGCGGCCAAGGCTTTGCTGTTATGGCCGGCGACGACGGCCGGGTATAGGCGTCGATGCCCCGTGGCTACGACCGACAATGTGCGCGGCTTAGCGACAGATGGATGGGGTAGCCCTTCGACTGGTGCGCCTTGCGCGGGGGGATCCCTCTCGCGCGAAGCGTGGGGATCGTACGATTGCGCCTGTTCGTGGAGGATGGGACTGGAGACGGGCATGTCGAAGACGTCGCCTAACTGATGTTACTACTGGTAAGCCCTCACATGCAGTGCGCATGCATTACGAATCACCCTCTCGGGTGGCAGGGACGGTCCAGGTATGATGGTCAAGCTGCTTCCATCAGGCACAATATCATTCTGTTTGCGTGCAGAGACGGGATCTCGACCGAAGTTCATCGTTCAGCTCCGGCAACAGGCATGAATTAACAGCAGAATTCGCTCACTCCACAGGACGGCGATCCATACACGGTTCAATCATATATAAGCTCCATAACTCTGATTCTCCAGAGAGAAAGCGAACAGTGCCTGCGACGGTCACAGTAGGAGCCGGGACGAGCGTTGCGATGCCGGGTCGCACCTGAGGGCGGCAGGTTGCAACAGTCAGCCCCGTGCACCTCGTTCGCGCCCCGCTTTGAGCCAGACCGCTCGTCCAGTCTGTTAGCCATATCGAACGCGTGTCGTCTCCCGGGCGGGAGTCCACTTCCTTCATACATAGACTCAACTCGTATATAGACCCAACCCCGATCTTATTGCGCCCGCGTCTTCTGCTACTGTACATACACACTACTGCTACGGTCACTGCCTCGACACCCCACTCCACTCCACTCTCCTACTTTACAACCTCAAGCTCTCGCTTCGGCGATGAGCTCATGCTCAGCCTGATCCTTATAGAACATACCCGTACTTACTCGTAGAGCCAGAGTCTTGTCTACATAGGGCTAGGCCCTCGCGGACAATAAAAGGAATCAAAAAAAAAAAAAAACTCTGATTCTGCTCATACTTACTATCGTACACACGCAGCAGACTTCTCACCCTCCCTCTCCTCTCCCCGGTTGCGAAGCCCGCCCTCACCAAGTTGCAACTTCACGACCTCTTTCGCTGCGCCGTTATTCAACTCCTCCGAGTGCTCAAAATCGATCTCCGCGGCAGCGACGCCCTCTCGCATACGCTCTACGCTCGTCGTTCACGGAAGCCGACCTCGACCGCCGGCGCACTCACCCAGCCTCAGGTTCAGCACCGTTGGCATTCATGCAGGCTTTCACCGTTATTCTCAACATCCACTATTGTACGAGTCATCCTGCCTGCAATAATATGTGATTGTGACTAAGTGCTGGAGTAGGCGTTTGAGGATCGCGTCGCGCGTGTACAGCCTGTATGCTCCAAGGCAGTTCGAGAGTTTCATTTACTGGAACCTCAGATCTCAGAAGCGGATGCCGCTCCGGACATGCATTGCCTCCTCTGGATAAGAGTGACACCGATGTGTCCCTAAACATAAGCGCGAACCTACATGAGTAACGATGAGTCTGGAGAGACGAAGCGACGTACATGCCCAAGACGCGTCGCGGCCTGTTGCTAATCGCATCTAGAATGGTTCCCATCCTCGACGTGCACTCATGACCACTCCCACCGGGCCATATATAGTTACTGCTCGGGATGTTTGACATGCACGGCGATTCATGAGCAACGTTTCAATAACTGATCCTCAAAGTCCCGAGCACGCATGAGCGAGTCTTCACGTTACGATTCCCACTATGGACGCAACAATGTACATGACGCGTACGACAGGCGCAGAGATATCGTAACTGCCCCATGATTATGCTACGTCCACTCAATCAAGCTCATATGCCTCGAAGTCACGCTCGAGCAACTCGCCGTCGAGGTCATAATCCCGGGGATGATGTTGGGCTCCCGCCCCATGCCCGGCGCCGCCGTGCTGTCCCATGCGACCGATCCACGGATGAGGCTCAGGCGGATAAGGCCCCCTACTCTGGCCCGGGTATCCATGCTGCGCGAAGTGAAAAAGTGTTTCCCCCGCTGCCTGCATGTACTGCGCGTTTCTCTGCGGAGCCCTCTGCGCATGCTCCCTGGCCTCCCTCTCGGCGCGCTGGTGAGGCGATTCCGGATCAGCGTTGTTGCGCGCCTCGAGGTCCCGAGAGAGGAGGTCGTCGTAGTAGCCGCGCTCCACCAGTCCGTCGAGGAGCTCACGCTCAACCATGGAGGCATCCTCGGTCGTCCGACTGTTATTGCATGCTCGGTCATCAGATAATAAGATTGTATGGCGAGGGGCTCACATGAACAGCTCGCCGTCGAGGTCATACCCCCGGGGATGGGACCCGGCTGTCTGAGGGCGGATCGGCGTGGGTCTTATCAGAGGCGGACTCCCAGGTCTGGATTGCTGAGCTGAGCTGCTCGAACCCGCGTGCGGATGAGGCGTCCCAGAGGACTCAAGTGAACCGCCCCGGCCCTTCTTCATCTTCCCAAGCACCGACGCGGCGCGCTCCTGTTCAGTCATTGGCGTTGGACTGTTACGTGAACCGCTCGGGCCCTTCTTCATCTTCCCAAGCACCGACGCGGCGCGCTCCTGTTCAGTCATTGGCGTTGGACTGTTACGTGAACCGCTCGGGCCCTTCTTCATCTTCCCAAGCACCGACGCGGCGCGCTCCTGTTCAGTCATTGCCATTGGACTGTTACGTGAACCGCTCTGGCCCTTCTTCATCTTCCCAAGCACCGACGCGGCGCGCTCCTGTCCAGTCATTGAACTACGCGCCTCGAGGTTTCGAGAGACGAGGTCGTCGTAGTAGCTACGCTCAACCAGTGCATCTTGGAGCTCACGCTCAACTATGGAGGCATCCGCGGTCGCGCGACTGTTGTTGTATCCTTAGCCATGAGACAAGAATAAATAGTGAGGGACTTACATAGTGACCGGGCAAGCGAGTGCAGGAGCAGTTGCCGCCGCCAGAAGGACAGCAGAGGAGAGCGTAGAGTAACGCATGATGTCCTGTAAGCACTGGGGTCGTTACGAAGGATTGTGGAAAGAACGTGAGTCGTCAAAAAAGACAGCGAGGCTGGACGAGGGCAAGGAGTAAGTGCAACATTAAAACCACACCGTCGCTGAACACTCACTTGCCGGCAACCTACTCGGTGGGCTCGAAATAAGAAGATGAGCTGAGGGATACGGCAGGCATAACTCTCCTCTTATACACTGGTATGCGCGGCCGCGCCACCGGCTTGCGATCACAGCAGCGATCTAAGACCGTTCATCGCATCAGCTAGGGTCGTTGTGCTTATGTGACAAGTCATCGCATTTGGATGATGGCGATTCACGACGGACGCAGCCTGTTGCATATATGCACAATTTACCCGTCGAGTATGAGCAGCGGCCTGCTGTTGCAGAGGGGAGCAGACTGGCGGCTTTCACAGTCAAATAATAACCAGACTATCCATTGTCAGCACAAAGCTCCGGTGATGTACAGTGGGGGACGACTCGGTACTCATCGTTCTGTTCTCAGCTGCGATGCTCTTGCAGAGTGAGAGCATCCATCCGAAGCCCATATGATGGGAGATTGCATCACGACTGCTTCGATCTTCGACGATGTCGATCAACCCCGATCACCCCACCGTGTCACCACTGTATGTGACGATGCTGCAGGGGCTTGACAGAAGAGCCGCTCGAGTCAATCTGGGGACGTCCTGGATATGCGAACGTCCTTCGGTAAGTACTTCGTTGAGCCAGTTGGAGGCGAAGTCGTCGCCGATGCAGAAGGAATCAAGAAGGAAATAGGCTCAACAGTAACAATCAGGTCCATCGCAGGCGCATATGAGGCAGTCTTGATCTCATATTGCTGATACCATTCAGTACTGTACTGGTTGCAGTGCCACTGTTAGCGGGATCATTGTTTCACCTCACGGATGGTGAGTAGACGAACCTCTTGAGCGTCGGTTGTAATGGTGCATAGCATGCGTGTCTATTACCACAGTAATAAGTAAGCAGTACCAGGAAGGATCGATACAAATCGACGGACGCTACACAAGGGTTAGTAGGTCGGGCCGGCTGTAAGCGTGAGCAAGCCTTTGGCCGCGAGCAAGGTCAAAATTGTTCTTGCACGAGGTCAAAGGGCCACTCAGCCGGGCATCGCCATCATCTCCGTGTCATTGTCAACGTACGAAGATCAATCGGTCTGCGAAATGGAATCGCCGTACCCCGGGGCTCTTGCCCTGAAACACTGTTTCACGGGAATGTGCGGCAGGTGTTACTCTGTACCGGATTTATGCATCTAGTCGCTGTCAGAGTAGCAGGAAGAGTAAGAGGGAGCGATTGCTCTGACGAAAGCATTCATGCTGGCCAATTCGAACGTCTACTTGCGCAGATTTTGGTCTCATTGCTGTCGGTAATCGTGTGTCTGGTACTTGCGGAGAGGACGTATGAGGCCTGAGCATGTGTAGTGTGTTTCTGAGGTGCCGACGATGTCAGTGATATCAGATAGCAGCTAGACGTCACACCAACAGGGAATATACCACAATACATGCGATATCGTAGAGATACCCACAAGAATAGGAACAAAGTGTCCCTTACAATTTTGGCTACGTGGCAGTCTTCATCCAGAGACGAGGACTATATAATGGTTCGTCAGCTCGAGAGGAGTCCAGTCAGCGCTTGCAACGTACGTGTCCATATCCCACGCCACAGGCGCGTCGCAGTCTGTCACGGTGACTGTCGCGACTCGCGTCCCGGCGGTGCCTCTTTCCTGCGCTTCCGCCAGCTCCGTCATTTGCGCAAACGTTCATGCCAGTACACCAGCCACCATCGTGACTGGACCTCTCATGCACCGCGCCAACGCATGCGTATCCAACGTTCAGCCTGAGAATTTGAAGGCGCTCGCAAGTCCGGTAGATGGGTATGGGTCACGAGGACCCAACGACGTCATCCGCCGTATCAGCCACCGCCGCGTCCTCCAGGCTCTGCTGCGACACACCCCCACCGTCAACCGCAGTCTCAGAGCATGCACAGTCGTCTCTAACGCGCTCATTCGTACGATCACTCTGAAGCTGCGATGACCACCGCAAAGATCATCTACGGCACTGCGTGGTATGTGCTGCGACTGCTAGGTCGTTCCGTGATTGACGTAGGGAAATCCAGGAAGAAGGAGCGCACTACTGACCTCGTCGTCAACGCGGTTCTCAATGACTTCCGTGCCATCGACACTGGTACGCACCTGTTCAGTTTCCGTCTCTCAACACGCCTCATCGACGCGATACGGTAGCTGGTCAGCCAAAACACTACAAGTAAACGGGCCTGTTATGGAGAGAACAGAGTTGCAGCTGACAATGACTCTCTGCTTAGCGAAGAACTTGTGGGCGAGGCGCTCGAAATCCTGCAGAACCAACACGGCATCAGGCGCGAGGACCTCTTCATCCAGACAAAGTGAGCCTCCCATCTCACGAGCCTCCCCCTCGTTCCGAAACCTCCCTCTCACCCTGCGAACTCACTCTCACTCACAGGTTCACCTCTCTCGGCGGTCAAGACCGCTCCAAACCGCTCCCCTACAACCCGAGCGACCCCATCCCCACCCAGATTCAAACCTCTGTCCAAAACTCGCTCCGGAACCTGCGCACGACCTACCTCGACAGCCTCCTCCTGCACTCGCCGCTCTCGCGCGTGGCGGACACCGTAACTGCGTGGCGCGCACTGGTCGCGCTGCAGGACGAAGGCACCGTGCACACGATCGGGATGAGCAACACGTACGACGTGCGCGTGCTCGAGCAGCTCGAGCGGGAGACCGGGCGCCGCGTGCAGGTCGTGCAGAACAGGTGGTTCGAGGGGAACGCGTGGGACAGGGAGGTGTGTCGGTACTGTCGCGAGCGCGGGATCCAGTACCAGTGAGTGTCCGCTCTCCTCCCGGATCTCCCAGTCGCCAGTCGACTCTTCCCGCTCCTTGGAATTGTTGATATGCGGCTCGGGACTCACCGTCTACACTATAGATCATTCTGGACCCTCTCCGGCTCGCCCTCGCTCCTCGCGCACCCTTCGCTCCGCGCCGTCGCCCACGCAAAGCACTGCACGCCCGCGCAGGCGCTCTTCAGGCTCGCGCAGATGCACGGTGTCACGCCGCTCTCGGGGACGACGAGCGTTGAGCATATGCGGGAGGACGTCGCTGCCGCGGAGATCGATCTTGAGGAGGAGCTGCAGGGTGGCGCGGTGAGGGAAGTCGTAAAATTGGTGTGGGGTCCGTGAAGGCTGGGCTTCGGGGACTCGTGGAGGGAGGGCGAGAAGTCTCTTGCGTATGTACGATAGTAAGTGTGAGCTGAGTCGATGTTTTGTAGCTTATATGGTTGGTTCGTGTACGGCCCATCGCTGCCCTCAGGTCTGTAGCGTGGTTTCTCTCGTTGATTCATGCCTGCAGCAGGAGCTGAACCTCGGTCGAGCTCCCGTCTCTCTGCTTCTATGCGAACGTCATGTTACGGTCCTTGGGGCAGCTCCAGAGAATCAGCCATTGCCGCACCTCTACCGTCCGAGATATAGATGGTGACGTACAATAGCATGCGAGGGTTTGAAAATCGTAGCGAACAGCGACATCAGTCGAACGACCCTTCGACGTGTCCGTCTTCAGCCCCACCCTCCACGAACAGGCTCAGTCACACGACCACTATGCTTTGCGCGAGAGGACTCCCCCGCGCAATGCGCACCAGTCGAATGGCCACCCCATCCATGCGTCGCTATGCCGCGCGCATTGTCGGTCGTACCCACGGGGTGTCGAAGCCTACCCGCGGCCATTGTCGCTGGACATAGCAACGAAGCCTAGGAAGCCTCAGCGGCCACGTCGTGTGTCATAACGACCGTCCGCAGTGCGGAGCCCACGGAGCCCACAGTTCATAGCCGATGGCCTCCGCAGCCCGTCCTTCCGAAGCTCAATGGTGGCCGCCGCCCGACTTCGACTTCGAGAACGTCGTCCGTGTGCGTGAGCACCTCACGGGTGGGCCATTCGAGCTGTTGGGGGCCAGCATTGACCTGTTGACTACTTGAGTGGCCCCAGCGCAAGTCGGACCTCGAGAGCTTGACGGCGAGGGCTGTTGTGGTTAGGGTCTCCGGTGGTAAGCAGGTAACGGGCGCTCTTCGGCCGGTTGTCGACACCGAGTGGCTCTGCAGCTGCAGGTGAGCACGAACCCATGATTCGAGGAACGACGTACGTGGGCGCGTTCACGGGAGCTGGGCAGCGCGACACATACACTTGTACGCGACTGGGACAGGTCTACAGCAGCTGCAAGTCAATCCCGGCAGAGCAGACTACGGAAGAAGGGACGTACAATCGCCGCGGCGCCAAGCAGATGGTGAGTGATTTGCAAAGGAGGGGCGGAGGCGGTGTAGCGCCATTCACCGACGTGAATACCCTTGCGAAGTTCGGTAGAGGTGGTTAGGAGGAGTGGTGACGCCCGAAGGGAACGCGACACGCATGATGAAGAGAGGGCCAAGGGCTGCGTCGAGCGACGACCGCTACCGACTCGCAAGCGGGACGACATGACAAGGAGTGAGCGAAGAGTGTGTCGGAGAGGTGAATATGCGGTTTCTGCATGTGGGTAGCGGCGCAGAAGGGGTATTTATACGCTGCGGGACGTTGGGCGCATAATGCAGGCGCGGGAGGGACAACAATGGGAGTGGCGACCGTCTCAGCAATGCTTGCCTCGCGTGCACACGCCCCGAGCCCGATGGACGCGACGTATTGCTCATAAGCTAGTAGACGCAGCCAAATGGATTGTAGTGAAACTCACCTCCAGGCCAATATGGTCCAAGCACTACTATCACTGTACCAGAAGTGCAATTTTCGCACTTTTTCCTTTCTGCGGGACGAACCGCTCACCGGAAGCTCTCGGAGTTTGCACTGGCGGATTCCTGAGGTCTGAATATATAGTGTATGATTTTACAGGCCCTGTCCAGGGAGTATGAGAGGGATGCCGAGAGGGAGCAAGGATTGGAACAGTAATGCAACTCTTCTCCGAGGCTCGTCACAGTTCCTGTCACACTGCCGAGTATTGCCGAGGGTTGCCGACTGTGGCTATTGTGGCTGCACGGCGATACAGCAATGCAACCAACATGTTCATGCTACCTTGTGCTATCCAAAACACCTTGTTCAGTCGCCGGAGAGGCCGTGGATGTATTTATATTATTCTGATAAACTCATAGGACTGGCATCTCTTACAGTATAGTAAGTCATAATGTTGAGAAGCCATAACGAGTCGACTACTTCGACTCTTCTGGAGGTGCTATACACCGATCCTTCCTCAGTTCATGAGTTGTATTTTTCTCCAGTGATTATTAGCTCCCCGCATGTCAAATGGAGGATGGCATGGCCATTAATGCCTGCAATGCCTTGTCCGGCGGGCGAGCAACAGTAGTGCAACTGCTGCGATCGTAACCGCATATGGTAACTGATAAGGAGCGGAGTTGAGATTGCTGATCTTGGGTGGCTTTCCGTCACGCTCTGACCACCGCTCAGACGTCTTTCCTGCTCAGAAGTTGCAACAAGAGACGGAAGGCTTCGGAAAAATATGAGGAACATATTATATGGTAATTCAATGCACCTTTGAGACCCACAGACGAAGCGCCCAAGGGATGCGGTCAGCCGAGACTGTACCAGTGCCATTATTGAGGCGCGGAAGGCATTCATCGATTTCTTCTCCCCAAATGCGCTACACATTCAATTCACTAAAGTACACAGAAACATTGAGTACGAGGTAAAGAACATTGTACAAAAATTCCAGAATATTTGACGGGACGGATGAAACGGGAGTTGAGTAATTGCATTACTGTCGCGATTGCATTGCAGGGCCACTGATAGTATCTATTAAGCTCCCTGCATCTCCCGCCAACTCAGCTGTGTACTCGGGATTGAGCATATAGCCAAGGCGTAGATTTTCAGCAACTCCCGTTGGTACGCTAATGCGAGATAAACGGACAAGACGTGGCGTGACAGCGAGGGAGCGCTCGCGATGGTTGGGTGCGGGATGGACGACGACAGGGCGGCAGCGGAGGAAGGTTGAGATCGGGGGGAGATCTCTCAGCCACAGACGCGACAGCGCGGCGTCGGTGGCAGCGACGAGCCATACGTGCGTACCATCATAACCCACCCATTCTTGCCGCTATAGCATAGACACTCATTCCATCTTTGCGTCAGAGTCATTCACGCCGCGTCGCCCCCGCCTCCCGCAGTCGTCCTCCGGCACCGGTCGACCCGGGTCCCGCAGCCTCGCAGTGTAAACGCAATACGCCTCGCGACTCACATGCCCATCGCAGGAGGACTCTCCCGGAGGGATCATGCAACTCGGAAGACCATCCGTGTGCTTCTCTATGCCGTCCCAGCGGATCCCCTGGCGGAGAGGCGTGCACGGGCTTGCCCGCATCCCGCCAGGCCCTATTGCGCTGGTTTGTCTGCCGTGCCATCCTCAAGTCGAGGCTGAACGCCGGCGCCGCGGCGCCGTGCCTAGTAGGAGCATGCGTCATTTACGGGTAGTCTTTCACATCGTAAGAGTCCAGGTCGAAGTCGGTACGTGCGCATGTCCTCGCTACTAGTGTCCCGCTCTGCCTCTGAGACTGTCATGACCCGGGGCAGGGTCCGATGTAGGGCCCGGTGTACCGGTGATGGCAATGGGTCGTCATCCTCGCGGGCGAATAGCGAGGCTCCGGCGTCCGTTCTGGGTAGGGGGGGCTGAGTGGGTGCAGGGCCTACTTGTTTGGAGGCGCCTTCATATCCCCCTCAAATTCCCTCGTTGTGGCTACGGATGGTTCGCGCACGTCTTCGGTGACGTATCTGTAGCGCAAGAGAGCACGTCGTGAGTCGCTTGTTTCTACGGGGCGAACGAGGTTGGGGACACTCACGTACGAGAGTAGCGCCGCCGACGCTGCGCTGGGTCATCAGAAACCCCCGTAGTGCGTAATGCGCGGAATCAAAGTCTGCGCGAAGGGCGCGGAGGTCGCTCCGCGGAGTGGTTAGGAGGAATGGTAACATGCGAGACAAACGCAGTCTGGGATGCGGCAAGTCGATGGGCGACGGGCGGTCGCATGATGGTGGGTGTGCTCAGCGAGGTGAGCTTAGGTCGAAGTGCGAAGGGGCGTGGGGAAACGATAGAGAGCGAGACCGTATTTATACGTTCAGGGCGCCACGCAGGGGTCAGAGAACAAGGACGCATGGCAATTGGAACCACAGGTGGCCATTTCCAAGCGTCGCGATCGGTGCGCCATGTGTCAAAGCGTTTGCCACTCCTGCCTCCTGGATGCGTGGCAACGACACGACTGGGTTTCCTTTTCGGACGAACAATCGTGGACGTGGCATACCGTCTCTCGCCGCGTATGGGCCTAGGGGCGATTGCTGGTCAGCTGGGAGGTTCGCTACCGCAGCAAGCACTCTTTCGTCCAGTTCGAACATCCCTTGTGTGGCTGCGGACTCAGTAAGCAAAATTGAGCAGTTGATTGACCCGTTGGTTCCCCCATGACGGTTAGCGCAATTGGGCTGACAATGCCACGTAGTGTCCCGGGCCCTGACAACCGAAGGCGATCCAATCCAAATCAGGTCGTCGCCCCACAAAGCCACCGGTTGTCACCATATCACGCTTTGGCCCGACGAACAATGCCCGCGGGTTGCCAGCCCAGGTATAAATACCGCAGACACTCCCACCGAGCTTGCATCTCAACCACACAGCTCGACGATGCCTCGCCTCAGACAACCGCACCTCTCCATCAGCCCCCCGTTACCATTCCTCCTACACCAACAGGCAACGCCCACTTCAACGAGAGCGCAAGGGGTAAGAGCTTCCTCCGCCACTTTCAGTCACGCACTCGACTGCGTACGTCCCCTTCCCCATTCTACCACCTCTATGATCGTCAAGCCTGACGCGACGAGCTACCCCGCAGGCCTTAGAATGCTCGCGTAGCCATCGGCCACGGCCCCACCTCCGGCTGCGCCTGCACCGCAAGCCCGCGCAACTAGCCCGCGCCGTAAGCGACAAGGGACGCGAGGGCTGATCCACACCTACAGCCGACATTCATCGCGGCCGCGGGACCATGGCAGCCAAGGCTGCTCCACCCCTTCCATCCATTTTCTTTATCGCGTGCGAGGGTCGTCAGACCTCATGTGCGCCGGCCGTGCTTGGTCCGTCGGGCATTCCCCGTAGCCGGAACTCCCGCCCATTTCAAGCATCCGGACGCGCTGCGACACGCCCGTCGATATCGGTCGATATTCGTTTCTGCGATGGTGGCACGGCCGGCGGGTGTGCGGCGCAGGACTCAAAATGTGCAGCTTGAGGTAAGCATTGGACGTACTCGACTGCGAGGTGCCCAGCTAATGCGGCGACGTTTGGGAGGAATCTACAAGTTGCGCGGAACCGTGCAGTCGCACAATGGGATGCAGACGGACTTGCAAGGGGCCCCTGACACGGCGCGGGTGAACGGCCATCCCCCGCTGGGATGCTTCTGGAGCGGGACAGTCGTCTTGCTTGTGAGCACTTCCAGCTGTGAATGGCCTGCGTGCGGTTGAGCCTCGCAACTGGACGGTCATTGGTGGCCTCCGTGTGTCGACCGAGGAGTTGCGTCTGGCGTCGAGTCCCATTATTCCATCGAGTGTGTGAATACTCGACAGTTTGCTTTACCGCACCCAAGTACACGTTGATCTTAAGCCGCCGCGTGGCTGTGGGTGTGAATACACTAGGTACTCGAGTGCAATTAGTAGATGCCGTAGCTACTTAATAGGGCAGGCGACGTGTCAGTGGTCGACGCCCTGTGGCTGAGGAGATCCTTGCCCGATCGGTGACTCAGCGGCTGTCCGTCATCTTCAGCGGCAACTTCCACGACGATTTGCGTCTGTCGATGATGTCTCCTCGGTACTTACCCAAGGACGCTCACGAGAAAGCCTTACGTGAGGATGCATGCACAGCTTCCGCGCGTCATCGTGGCTCCGATCGTCAGATCACAACTAGCAAGTACTGTTGCCTAGGCGATGAGAGGTGCGTCACCCATCCTACTGTGCCTCGCCCGAGACGTCTGCAGCAGACTGCATCAAGCTACGTCTCTACCAAGCCTTTGCGGCACCGTTTTCTGATCGTTATATATCCCAGTATATCCTACGCAGTCGTGTTGCGGTGGCTGTGCAGTGGGTGGTGATCGACAGATCGCCAAAGGTACCTGAAGGTGATTGCGATGCAATCTCCGCATCACGGCACAGCGACGCCGACGTCATTCCCCAGTCTACATCCCCGATGCTTTGTGCCGGCAGTGGCTAGTCGAGTTATCGTCCCGCCAGTCTGCAGCAGCAGGCCACGCATACTCGACGACGAGTGAATGGCTCACGTGCACCAGGCTGCGGCGCCAGTTGGAGCGCCGCCATGCGACGCAAGTCGAAGCGTCTGCGCCACCATCATGAAGCGACGATCTGTCAAGCCTGTCAAAGCCTGTCAACTTGAAGCCAAAAACTGTCAAGCACGATGATCCGAGCGGGTGAAAATCTGAATAAACGCCACAAGACAAGCTTGTCTTCGCTGCTGTTATTCCAAGTCCGGAAATGCTGGCGTATAAAGGGAGAGCTGCGCCTGACAGATCCCTCAGCTCTTCTTCTCCTTCGAGCCCACCGAGTAGGTTGCCGGCAGGTGAGTGTTCCGCGACAACGGTAGTTCGAATGTGCACTTACCCCTTGACCCCCTCCAGCCTCGCTCTTTTTTTTTTGTTTGACGACTCACGTTCCTTCCACCGAAGTCCATCGTAACGACCCCAGTGCATACACGACATCATGCGTTACTCTACGCTCGCCTCCGCTGTCCTTTTGGCGGCGGCAGCTGCTCCCGCGCTCGCTCACCCGGTCACCATGTGAGCCCCTCGCTGTTGATTCTTATGTCATAGCTGACCATACAATAACAGTCGCGCGACCGAGGATGCCTCCATAATTGAGCGCGAGCTCCAGGACGGATTGGTGGACCGCGGCTACTACGATGACCTCGCGTCTCGCGACCTAGAGGCGCGCCGCAACCCCGCTGACCGTGCGGCTAAGCAAATGGCCGCAAACATAAAGAAGAACGCGGGCAAGCCCAAGCCTCACCGTCCGGACGTGCATTTGCCGAGCGGCCAAGCTCGACACGCCGATTCTGGGCCTCGTCCGTCTCATCCGCACCCGAACCGCGCCCGGAGCGACGAGATAGTCGAGCGTGACCTGCCGGGACGCAAGGGGCCTAAGCGACCCATTGGTCCTCCTCCCCTTCACCCAGGCCCTGATCCTCGTCCGCGACCCCGAAGCGACTACTACGACATAGTCGCGCGTGACCTGGAGGCACGTAGGCAGCCCCCTCGTCCCCCTCGTCCCGTTACCCCTCCCCCTCCCGCGCCCAGGCCTTGGGCGCCCCCTCGTCCCGCTACTCCTTACTACCCGCGACCCCGGGGCGACAATGAGTGGTTTGCCCGGGAGTACGACGTCGACGGCGAGCTGTTCGAACGCGGATTTGAGATAGATGAGCTTGACTGAGCGGACGTACGAGCATGATCGTGGGGCCATCCCGATGTATTTCGTGCCTGTTGTACGCATTGAGTTCTTTTTATTGCGTACCACTTGTAATGTGAATCGTAACGTGAAGACTCACTCACGCATGCTTGATATTTTGAGTGTTGCTCATGCATGCAACGCCATGGTATAAGCCAGCATCTCGAGCAGTCGGAGTGGTTTGAACACGGAACTGCCGGGAGAATTGGTACGTCGCGAGTGGGTACAGACTGATTACAGGCAACGGCGCGTCTGCTAGGGCTGTAGCGTGGCTGGATTCAGTGTACGTCATGCGCCGCATCCACCAGTCAACTTGTTATGTTGCCAATGTGTCAACGGGGGGTTGCGAAATATGCTACACCCCTCGGAGACGCAACCTCAGGCTGATCGGCCCAGTCTCTCACCGCTGACATTCCTCTTAATCAGGTAGTACCCCAGCCCGTATGCTAGCTGTGGCCAGCCCGACCGCGGCCAACTGGTAGCGCAGCAGCCATCCGAAACAAGGATCCGCTCACCCACCGAGGCTCGTGTGTCCGCTTACTACTGGCCGTGATAGGATCTTATCATGACCAACGATAAGCAGGCGAGACAGCGCACTCGAATGCCTTGGGACGACGCGCGGTTCTCGGGGAGGACGATGATCGGTACGCAGGATATGCTCGTAGCTGCCTGAAGACGCGACTAGGCAGCTGCAGCAGGACCTTGGTCGTACTGGGGAACAGCAAAGGTACGTCCAACCTCTCACTGCATCTTCAAAGACTCAAGGCCGATCATTCGCAGTGTAGTCTTGAGGAGAATCGTGGCCGAGCGCACCGTACCGAGTCATTCCCTAGGTGGTGTCTTCTTCGAAGATGTGCCTGCTGCTGACAGCGTCCGTTGGACTGGCTTGTAGTCCGTTTGAAAGGTCAGGTCACTGAATCGCGAGCCACTTCTATTAGGACGGCTGACTCTCCTCGAAGACAAACCGATCTCAACAGGCGACGGGCATGTTGGCCAGGCTAAGGTAAGCTGATACCTCCCCAAGACTGACATTCGTCAGCTTCACTGATCACTAGCACTTGCGATGGCAGTTTTGCACAGGGAGAATGACTTTGCATTTGTGCAGAATCAGCTGCAGATGCGGCTGCGTCTGGAGGTGGACGTCCATTCAGTGCGGTCTGCGCGGGAGAGTCCTTTCGCGGGAGCGTCCGGATTGCACGACCAGGCTCGGCGTGAACGCATTCGCGCATGCCTCATACGCATAGCACGGCAGAAGTGTCTTCATTGTCTTCACCTCGCTCAAACCTGCGAGGCGGCAAATCGTTACTACTAGCCATCACGACAATGGTACTAAGAGGATCATCAGTCGCGAGTGATAGGAGGGATGGAAGGCTACGACTGAGTGTATCTCGTTACCTCTGTGCTACGCAATGGCCTCGGAACATGATGCCACCGTATGTCTCCGTCCCTCGGAATATGCGCGATCCAGCCACGTCTCTGCCTCATCGTGTCCTCTTACCGTGAGCACGCCCTAGGACCCGCCTTCTCGAGGGGCGGGACAGCGGTTGTTGAGGCTTCCTGGAGAACACGACGAGATCAGAACGCGAGGAGTACGAAGATAGCTGCATACGCACTTTGGAATGTGCGCTAACATGGCGTCAGTCAATGCTGCGACGTCTCGTTGGTTCTTGTACTCCGTGTGCTGGCCGTTGCGGTAGATCAATAGTGTCCTAAACGACAGCCCGCAATGACATCCAAGAATTACGGAAGTCAAGAGCGTGGAGCTACGTACGGATAGCCCTGGATGCCGCTGGCCTTACAGATCTCTGACTCTGGAGCCTTGGAGCAGTCGATCTTTGCAAACTTCGCAGTGCCTTGGAGGTTTGTCGCGGTTCTCTCATAAATGGGAGCCAACGTCTGGCAATGTGGACACCTGAGCACGGATAAGAAGAGTCAGAGGATGCCCTTGCGCCGAGAGATTCACATACCACGAGGCAATGAATTCAACCATGATCAGCGGCTCGTGCTTGACTACGGAGTCAAAGTTGGCTGCAGTCAAGGTAATGACTTGCGAGGCCGCGGAGGTGGAAAGAAAAGCAAAGAATGCCGCGAGAGAAAACGCAAAGGGGAACCGCATAGTGCAGGCGTAGAAAGAAAGAGACAAAGGTGGATGTCTGTAGCCCGATAGAATGTTTGACAATGATGGCGTCTGTCCCGCAGATCGATATACCAAGTGGTTCCTAGGATGGGGGATTCGGCTGAGACGTCACTGCAGGCAATTTATGTGAGGATGCATCTACGGCACCATTAGCCCACCTACCCACCCCTGCGCCACTTCGTCAAAGGTTTCCATCCCAGGAGTGCAGGCCTCAAGTGTCAATGTGACAGTTACATCCCAAACACCATCCGCCACTGCGCAGGGACTCAGGGGAAAAGTCGGTGAGTACCTGTTCTGTCCAAACACGTTTTTGAGCGCCATCAAGTCGACGTACCTGTAGTTGGCGCCGTAACGGTCACTCGGCATCGCAAGAGCACACTGGTGCTTGAATTGTCGAAACACATTGACGCGGCTCGGCATCAATCCACCTATAACCAACCGAGTTTCAGCCACACCCATTCGCGTCATGACTGAGTCCGCACAAGATAACTCACTATGCCCGCAATACGGGAAGGTATGGCAACACCCGGGAATATAGCGATTGTATCTTCAGGAAAAACGCGCACCGCTGATGTACATACCTACGGGATTCCGGAAGCCGATATGAGTGAACGGCTTTCAATCGCCAGCGTCAGAGCATCGCAGCCAGACCGTTAAATTGGGACGCAACCATCCGTAAGGTAGCCTACAAGCTTTTCGCCCGACTGCGTGCATGGTCCATACAGAGATGTCCGTCCGAAGCGATTGAGAGTGTCAGCGCGAACTCCGAGCCGGTCCTTGCCCGAGTAGCTGGTACTGACAACGCAATCTCTGCAAGCTACAGAAGACGCACATCAGCGGACTGCAGAGGGCTTATGAGGAGCTGCGGACCTATCGAATAGGCATCATCAAACGGAAGGTGCTGAGACGGTGAAGGGCCTGCGGCCGAGCAGGATGTCATGATTGAACATCGAGTCCGCTATTCCGTGGTTCCTATTCGCGAGACGCTGAGACTCGTCATAAGAGCCGGATATGGCCCAAATCAACCATGCTCATGGTCAAATGAATTTCTCGGCGCAGACGATGTGATACATGGAGCAGCACTGCGTAGGAAACGTCAGTAGCGACTGTGATGTCAGCTCAGGAAGTTTCTCTAGTGCTGTCAACCAACTCACCTGCATATATGCATGCTACGGCACTACCATCGCTTCCTGGTGCCTGTCAGAAACATCATGGCCTCGCCGGCCATGTGCAATCAAAAGAGCACCCCAAGACTGACTCTTAGCATCAGTACTTCGAATAATTCAGCCAGTAGAATTGGCCCTGCGAGAGGATGAACGTTGTGAGATACGACGACGTGAAAACAATTGGCCCGTATGAGGTGTGAGTTTGGCACAACCACGGACGTGTCGTCGTCGTGCAGCGTCGCGTCCCAGATGCAGTGTCCGAAGCAAAATCAAATGATACCTGTGAAGACCACCCGCACACGCCGCCTTCGAGTCTGTCCGACGCTCACTCTAGTGCGAGTACGCGCTCCAGGGCGAGGGCACAGCGCGCACGATCGGGATTGGGGATGAACGAGACGTACGACGCACGCGATACAGAAGGCTGCGGATTATACTGTCGCGAACGCGGGACACAGTTCCAGTACTGACTCGCCGACCATCCTGCATGCTCTCTCTCTCTCCGCGCCCTCACCCACGCGAGGCACTGCGCCCCTGAAGGCGCTTTTCAAATTTGCGCGGCTGCATGACTTCAAGCCGCTCTCGGGAACTATCAGCGTGCAGTAGATTCTGGAGGACGTCGCCGCGGGGAGATCGACTGGGCCGTAAGGAAGGTCGTGGTTCGCATGTCGGTGTGTGGTCATTTAGAGGGATCTCTGTGGGGGCGAAGGGAGTAACCCGTGTGTTCGGCAGCCGATGCGAGACGAATCAGAATTGAACTTGTTCAGAGGCTGTCTAGTTTCGGTCAGAATGAAGTACTTGACTGAGGACATGGCGGAACAGAGCCTCGCCTCAAAACCGCGTAAGTATCAAGACCATACTACAATCCTTTCCCACACTCAGGAACCATACTGATGTGCCTTCTTACTGTAGATCGCTTGATGGTCCTCCTACCACCACCACCACCACGACTCGTTGAACGACGCCCCCCCCAGCTCCCTGTTGAGCTGTGTGAACATATCCTCGACTTCGTCTGGCCCGATCGCTTAACCCTTCTCTCCTGCGCACGCGTCTGTCGAGCATGGCTCCCACGCAGTCGCCTCAATCTGCTCCGCCAAGGCCGCCTTCGCGACAGCACGCAGGCATGGTCCCTCTCCAGTTTCCTCTCTCGACATGCGGACTGCTGCTCATCCGTAAGGGTGCTTCAGATATCGCCCCGCTACTCAGGGTGGACCCTCACGCGCGCCTTCCCGCTCCTTTTTGTTGGCAAACTCTCGCACGTCGAGCACATCCGCCTCGAGAACCGATGTGGCTTTAACTTCTTCGCCCAGCCGTGGTCTCTGACCACGCTCAGTCAGTTTGTTTACGTGAGGAAGGTGGAAATCAGGGGCTATATGCTCCCGTCGCTGCACTCGTTTGGCCGCCGCGGCCCTCCCAACATAACCACTCTGATTTGCCGGACCATCCGGTGGTCCGCGGTGGATTACTCGCCCGAGTCCTTCAGGCCTGTCTCCGCACGCCTCAAGCTCACCATATGGCCATGTCAGACATCAGATGGTATGATGAGTTGGTCGACATGCTCGCTGACATCGTCGATCTGAGGTCCTTGCCCACCCTGAACATCCAATCCATCCGGAGGCAGGAGCTACAGCCAGTGAACAGACTATTTAATCGACGCTGGTGGTCCCGCGCTCCAGCATCTCGTCCTAGGCTCCAGTCCCACGTCTTGGCCGGCCAGTAATGCCAGTGCGTACACAATATATTCTGGGTTCCATTCATCGTTGATCTCCGGGACGAAGGTGCATTTCCTACACTCACCAGTAATGTCAATCTGCGAACTCTCCGTCTGCATTTCCACGACCGAGGCGAATGGGTCGTCCCCATGCTCTCCCAGCTCGCGTCCGAACCGCGGCCTTTCTTGGCGCTGAAGATCTCGAGTCAGGAGGAGATCTTGGACGAAGAGAATCTGCGTGTACTGCGACTGGATCGTCTCGCCGAAATTGTCACGCAGGACCGTTTGAACCCCAGAGAACTCGTCTTCTGCCACAAGCCGGGCATATCTGGTGTAGACGAGTATCATGCAGAGGTGCGACGGTGCTTACCAGACGCGGCAGCCCGTGGACTTCTGCGTATCGAACCGAGTGAGCTTTTCTGCATCTTTCGAACTGATGTACGTCGGTCGACTCACTCCCGCCACAGGAGATGCTCGTTGGTGGGAGACCTGAGCTTGATCCTTGATCGCGTACACCTGTTACAATGCAACCATGCGACCATGCCCGCGTCTACAGCAACTGCACGGAGTCCCGCATACAACCGCATATCGGACTGTCGTACGTCGTCATCGTGATTGCTGGGATGACATTCATCGCCGGCTTGAACCTCCGGCCGCTCGTCTTCCCCAGTTGTGCGTACGATACCCTTCTTGCTGTGCCATGCGCGCAGCTTCTTTACGAGCCCCATCGGAAAGGCGCACCGCGGGCCTCAGGTCGACGGTCCCAAAACAAGTACGACGCCGAATATATCAGCGAAGCGGGGCGATGAGCTAGCGCAGGTGAAGAACAACGTGGACCAGCTTGTTAACGACTCTCTCGGCTGGCTCTCCTGAATCCCAGTGAACCCGTTCATTCCGAAGATTGTCGCCGAGGCCGTTGCGAGTATCTCCAACGGTCATTTCTCTGCACATCAGCTTACATGTCGTAAGGGTTTCCGGCCCATTGCAACTATTTCTTTCTGATCTCTTCTGTATCAGTACTCGGTCCACGAAGCTTTCCGCACGTTCGCACATTCAAAACATCTGCAGACCGCATCGAGCGCCGTTGCAAGCCTGTTTGCGACATCGTTATATTCAGTCGTGATGCGGTGGGTGTAATTCGATGGGGTGCTCTGGGGTGATCGACATCGCCAAAGATCAATGAAGTTCAAATGTAACTGTGATGCAATCTTCCATCATATGGGCTCGACCACTATGGATGAATGCCCTCACTACTTCGCAGTTGAGCATAGAGTGACGCCGTTCCTCAGTCTACATTGCCGATGCTTTATGCTAACCGTGGCTAGCGCAGTTGAACCTGCCAGTCTGCTCTCCTCCGTAGCAGCACACCGCTCATACTCGACGACAAGGAAATGATTCGCATATGCACCACGCTGCCTCACAGGATCCTCCGTATCGCGAACCGCCATCATCCAAATGCAATGATCCATCAAGCACAATTATCCGACGATGAACGGCGCGATATCATGGAATCGTTGCTGAGATCACAAGCCCGTTCACGGCCACGCACACTAGCTTATAAAAGGAGAGATATGTCTACCGTATCTTTCAGCTCCTTTTCTTCTTTCGAGCCCACCGAGTAGGTTGCCGGCAAGTCAGTGTTCAGCGACGGCGGTAGTCTGAATGTTGCGCTTACCCCATGCACCCCTCTAGCCTCGTTCTCTTTTCTGACGCCTCACGTTCCTTCCACCTGAATTCTTCGTGGGATCTAAATCTGTGTTGCAAACACGACATTATGCATCACTGTGCGCTCACCTCTGCTGTCCTTTTGGTGGCGGCAACGGCTATCGCGTTCGCTCACCCCATCGCCATGTGAGCCCTCGCTATTCATTTTCATCTCGCGGCTGAGCGCGCAATGATAGTCGCTCGGCTATTGATGCGTCCATTGTTGAGCGTGGGCTCCAAGACAGACTGGTGGAGCGCAGCTACTACGATGACTTCCTCTCTGACTTCGAGGCGCGCGACGACAAAGTAGCTCTCGAGATTCAGGGGCCTAAGCCGATTCACCCGAGGGTGAAGGCGCTGAGGAAGGCGCTGAGGAAGGAGAGAAAGCATCGGGGAACGTACGCGGGGACTCCGAGCAGGTCAACTGTGTATGATCCTCGTCTGCTTCATCCGCAGCACCGCGGCCGGAGCGACTACGACGAGATAGTCGAGCGTAATTTGGGGGCACGCAAACCTTGGAGGCCCGCTCGTTCTCCTTCCCCTTGGCCGAACAACACTCGTCCGATTCGTAAGCATCGACAGCAGCCTCGGAGCGACTATGTGTGGTTTGCCCGGGAGTACGAACCCGACGGCGAGCTGTTCGGGCGCGGCTTCGAGGTAGACGAGCTTGACCGAGTGGACGTACTAGCATAATCTTGGGAATGTTACGATGTCTTTCCGCCTGCTGTACGCATCGTGTACATTGTTGCGTATCACTTGTAACGTGAAGACTCACTCATGCGTGCCTGGGAAGCTGATGATGTGTTGCTCATGCATGTTAAGTCATTATACAAGCCAAATATCTCGAGCAGTAACGGTATATAGCCAGGTCGGGGTGGTTTGAGCATGGAGCTGGCGGAAGAATGGGGACGATGTCGATTCTGGTCGCGAGTGCTACAGACTTATTACAGGCTGCGACGCATCTGCTCAGAGTGCAGCGTGCCTGGGTTCAGTGTACTTCATGCGCATGCACAGATATCTAGCGGTCATTAAGTTATCTTCTTGCCAATGTCGAGCGACGCGTCCGAAAAACTGCTGTCCCGAGTCGCTGAGGCGACTCGTGAAAGGTGCGTCCCGCCCTATGTGACCCTTCTCTCTGAGTCAGTCGATAACCTATATCCCGCAGACCAGAAACCTCTCGTACGGAGTCGTCTGGAGCCCAGACGGTGATTCCCCGCTGGATTCCTCTCGAAACAGGACGAAATCGACCTCGCGGAAGGCTTGATGAATCAGATCTTGGCGCCCCCCACTCGACGCATAAAATGGTTGTTTTGCGTGAGGAGGAGGACGTCGCGTAGTCTCCGCGGCAGTCCACGTACAGACCTTATAGCTTCAAAAGCCAGCAAGCGTCTGAAGTACATAGGCAACTTATGTACCTTGGGCAAACTGCGGCAATACTAGTAGCGAGATCGGGACGCGATCTCTCAGCCACATACGCGTTCGGTTCGCTCCTGTGCCCGCCGCCCCTCCTCTCCACTATGACAGCGACGCGATGAAAAGTTCAGAGATCATGACGTGGTCTGTGTTCAAGAAATTTTCTGGGGTCACATTAAAAGTGTACCTGTTGGAACATGCATTTAGGCACGAGCTCGCAAGCTCGGCCGAGATAGTTCCTGAATGAAGATAAGGGAGGTCAGGGTATATAAACCGTAGTTTTCGATGTACCTACCTCACGCGATTGCCCTTCGGGCATCGTCCACGCCCGGGACACTCGCGCTCGTTGACCGCTGTTCCGCTTGTTCTCACACAATCGCGTCAGCCCACCTGGGGGTTTACTACCAGAAGGCTCTGGGGGCAGCTGAAAGCCCGCCGCTCGCTGCGTCGCCGTACCTCGCGTGCATGCTGTCATTCGCCGATACTCTGCTGGCCGTCGCTATGCCGCAGACTCCCGCCGTCGCCGTCGACCCACCTGCCTAGACGAGGCTGAAGTCGTCTACCCGCCGTTGAACGCCGCACGCGCGCCACTGCCGCCGCACGTCGTACGATCGACCCGCTGAACTGAACCGAACCGCCCGGGACAGGGCCAAAGCTGTCCACCGCTGAACCGCCGAACCGTCGCATTGCCCGCCGCTGAGGGCATCGTCGTCGAACCGTTGTCGAACCGTTGAACCGCCCGCCGAGGGTACCGAACCGCCCGCTGAGGGCACTGCCGAACCGTCCGTCGAGGACATTGATTGAACCGCTGCCGTCGCTGGAGATGTTGAAGTTGCCGGATTTGGACGAGGATTGCGCCGCCATACGTTTTACGCCTTACCTTCGCACCTAAGGGTCGCCCGTCGTAGCTCATTGCGAGCATGGACTATCGGCCGGATGTCGGAGTGTTGGAATGGGTGCCGGAGCTGGATGACTGCGAGAAGACGAGGATTTGAGCTTGGGGGAGTGCCGGATGTCGAACTGCGGGGAGTGCGCGTGAGCACTCGCTTGCTTCGCTCGGGGGAGTGTGTTGGAACATGCGTTTAGGCACGAGCTCGCAAGCTCGGCCGAGATAGTTCCTGAATGAAGATAAGGGAGGTCAGGGTATATAAACCGTAGTTTTCGATGTACCTACCTCACGCGATTGCCCTTCGGGCATCGTCCACGCCCGGGACACTCGCGCTCGTTGACCGCCGTTCCGCTTGTTCTCACAGTACCATCCAGCAAGTCCAAGGATGGCGACGAGTATGAAAATACCGTTGCACATCGTAACTTCACGTGCTTCGGCGCGTCAAACAAATCCTGGGTGGCAACATATGTCAACCGGAAATGGAAGGGGGCTAGCCCCCACATGATCACAGGCACCGTGTCGCACCCTGACACGCTGCTTGTAGAAATGAACACGCCGGACGGGCCGTTCTCGGTCCTGAACGTGTATAATGACAGCGAGAAGCATGCGGCGGTGAAGCACCTGCTGAATGTAACTCATGCTCTGCCAGCCGTCTCTGTGATGGTCGGCGACTTTAATCTCCGCCATCCTTCATGGGACAAGCGGACACGTTTTCACAACGAACGCCCACCGCATGGGCGCGAAGTTGCGGAATTATGGGATTTGGCCACGGAGCTCCAGCTCTTGTTGGGCAATTCAGAGGATGGACCTGCCACTTGGCAATCCAACAATGTCATGACCGCTGCGCGTACCTTGGATCTTCTTTGGTACCGTGGTGATCATGAGGTAGTGGACTTCAAGGTCCAGACCCAAGCCAAACACATGAGCGACCATTCGCCGCTCACATGGGCGGTTATTTCCGGTTCTCCTCCGGAACCTGAAGCGACAATACAACGGACGGGCGTTAAGGCGCACATCTTTTGTACGAATGTTGCCAAATTGATATCACGGCTGCCCACCTCGTGGGATACAGCTGATGATATCGAACGCACCGGTGATGACCTATTCAATGGCATCACGGCAGAATGGAAAGCTGGGGCGGCCAAACCTGATCGCACCGGACGCTCCAAATCTTGGTGGAACCTTGAATGCAGTAAAGCAAGCAAGGCCGCCAGAAAAGTGCGCAAACAGTGCAAAATCTCAAGTGCAATGGTCCACCATGCACGGAACACGCTCGGGAACCAATCCCAGCAATTCCGACTCTATTATGAGTGGCACGAACATGTGCAACAGCGCCTCAAGCAGACGCTCAAATGGGTTCGAGCGGCGTCACGCCGCGCGAAGCGCACCTTCTTTGACAACGTGTTGTCGAAGGCCCACCCTCAGCTCATCTCCAATTTTGTGAGTTGGGCTAAACCAAGACGGTTAGACGCCGGTGCACAAATTAAGCGCGCTGACGGCACACCGATCAATTCACAAGCGGAACTCCAAGAGGAGTTCCGTGAACAATTTACGCCTTCCGTCCCGAAGGCAATTGATGAGTCAATCCTGGAGGAACTTCGGTCCTTTGAGAAGCGCTCATTCCCGGATATCTCCAATGAGGAGATATCAGAGAACTTGGCAGACACGTCGAACACGTCTGTCGGGGGTGAAGATCATGTTAATTGGGAATGGGCTAAGCGCATTTTCCACATGATTGAGGAGGTCAGGGACCGCAATGGCAATGTCGTTGATGTTGTTCATTGGGGCCCTAAAGTGTATGCTTTTTTCAAAGCATATTACAATGCATGCATTAAAATGCACAAATTCCCGAGCGCGTTCAAGCGCTCCATTACTGTAGTGATCCCGAAGCCTAATAAGCCGGATTACTCTAAAGCCAAGGCATATTGTCCGATATGCCTCCTCAGCGTCTTTGGCAAGCTCTTTGAAAAGATCCTTGCCAAGCGCATGCAGTTTGATGGCCAGAAATACGGCATCTTACACCCATGCCAATTTGGTGGTACTATACAACACAGTACTGTCGATGCGGGAATGCAGGTGACGCACTTTGTGCATGAAGCCTGGGCCAGGGACCTGACGCCATCTTTGCTTTTGCTGGATGTGTCTCAGTTCTATCCTTCGATCAATCACACAATGATGATTGCGATGCTGAGGAAGCAAGGGTTCGCGGACGATCTCTGCGAATTCTTTGCTGATTACCTTGATGGGAGGTTCACACGATATCTCTTCAATGGGAAGCTTACAGAGCCAACCTTGACCCCCCTTGGAGTGGGACAGGGGTCCGCGCTTTCACCGGTGAAGTCAGGGCTGTATATTGCACCTTTACTTCACAAACATTATCCCGTTGG